CTGCGGCGGGAGGCTTTGCCGACGAGGGCTTAACCCTTGAGGCTGGAGGCGAGGACCTGCCGGACGCATACAGGTCCGTGCCGGTCAATCCCGCGCAGCTGCGATATAACGTCATTGCGGCGCGGGAACCGCGCAGCGGGGAGTGGCGATACTTGACTGCATTCGCCATGCTGTTCGGCTTGTCGTCGAGTGTTATGAATTTCATGCGGTGGTCTGCCTTTCTGGAAGCCGCTGCCAGGCGCGTGGCGGCATTGTTGCACACAATGCATGTCGATGATGGCAGTCTTGGGGACCTCGGATTGGCGAAAGGCTCGGGACAGGCTTTACTCAACGTCTTGTTTTCGGAGTTGGGTACCCCGAATGCCAGCGCGAAGCAGCAGCGCATGGCCGCCACTGGGGCATTCTTGGGAGTCGATCGCGACGTGTCTCGGGTTTTTGAAGGCAGAGGGGTGGTCTCCTTTTGGCCGAAGGCCAGCATGATTGACAAAATCAAAGGCCTGCTCGCGGAGCACCGTGCGCGGAACAGCCTGACACCAGCGGAGGCCTCGAAGCTCCGGGGCATTCTGCAGTGGTCGTCCTCCGCGATGTTCAACGGCGTCGGCGGCGCCGCGATGGCGCCGCTGAAGCAGAGGCAGTGCACTGACGCGCCTCCGTGGGCGTTATCCCACGCGATTCGGCGGTGCTTCGATTACTTCGAATTTGTAGTGGACCTTGCCCCGGAGAGAAGCGTCGACGTGAGCCCGCCCTCGTGTCCGCTGATTGTGATCGCAAGCGACGCGCGGGCTGACGGGGCGACCGCGCCCACAGGCGGCTACCTCCTGGTCGATTGCTTGACAGGGGAGCGCGTGGGAGGATGGTGTGTATTCGACGATGCCACACTCGCGGAGTGGGGTTTCTCGCCGGAGGACCGGGAGAGGGGCGCGAATCAGATCGCCCTCTGCGAGGGGGCCATGGTCCCCATTGTCCTGGCGCAAGAGGCGCGGAGGTGCCGAGGGAGGCGCATCCTGTGGGTGCTTGACAACACGAGCGCTCTCCACAGCTTCGTGAGTGGCAGGTGCGACCATGCTACCCTGGACCGGAGCGTCAAGCTTATGAATTTCTTCAAGGCGCGCGCCGCGAGGGCAAATCGCGGGGGGGCGCGCCGCGCAGCGTGTCGCGCCAGTTTCACTGCGACATGTCCACCTGGCTCGAGTGGGTAGACTCGAAAAGCAACTGGTCGGACGGGATCTCACGGCGCGCCGTGCGCGCGCGGGGGCGGCCTTCCCCCGAGTCGTCCACTCGCGCGGTGCCAGGCGGCTCGGCGAGGATAGCTTCGCCCGGGAGAATGGTTTTCGTACCGGCGAGGTGAGAGTGGACCCGGCCGCGTGGCGCGGGTGATTACTAGACGCGTGGCGTTGGGTGCTACGGCGCGCGGAAGGCGCGATCCGCGAGGGCAATTCGCGGGGGGTGGGCCGCGGCGTGCAGCGTGCCGCGCCAGGCTCAGTGGATTCGCCGTAAAGAAGGAGTCCGCGCAGGAGAGGTGAGCGCGGGCCCAGCCGCGGGGCACGGGCATGCCTCAGACACGGGGCGCCGTGTACATCGACGCGCGATTGCGGAGCGGCGTCGGACCCAGAACAGCGTTGGGGGTGCAGAAACGCGGAGCCAGAGCAGCGTTGGGGAGAGCGGCATTACTGGCGAGCCACGCCAGGGTCTTGCCTTCTTCACGCAGGTGTTCCATTCGGGGGGTTTGGTCACCCCAAGGTCGTTCTGCACCCCCGGAGCACCGTTACACTTTCTGGGGTCGGGGGACGGGGTATGGGTTGGGGGAATGGGTGGGAGGATGGGGCCGTCGCGCGCCGTGTTCGCAGGTGGAGCGCGCGCGCGCGCGCGGAGGAGCGGGCCGCCCGCGTGCGCTTCGCGCCGCGGCGGGGCGCGTGCGATTCGCGGCGCGCGAAAGTTGCCAGGGGCCGCGCAGGGCGCGGCGCGGGGAATAGGCTGTCGGTGATTATGCGTTGACTTTAGGCTCGGGGAGGCTCGGGTCAGGGAACCATAATCATGACAGAAGGGGACGCCCGCGCGCGCTCGCAGGGACTGCGCGCATCAGAGCGCGCAATTGGATCGTGCGAGCAAAGCGCGTTGGCGACAGCGGTTGCTGTTGGTTTGTTTCCCACCCACCACACCCTGGGCCCCGGTGGGGTTACCGGGGAGAATTTGGGATGGGCGCCGGCGTGGACTTCGCCGTGCAAGAGGCGATGCGCACCGGCTGCGAGGGGTCCTGCCTCGGGTCGGCCGAACGTGTGCGTCGCAGGTGCGAGAACGCCGCGCAGGTCAGCGCGTGCGGGGAGGGGGCCTTCCTTCCCTGGTGGCCGCTGGCAGCGGTCGCATCACCAGGTGTAACGTCTGACAGGTGCGCGACATGTTTTGCGCGCGCGAACACGCCCGCCGTATCCCGACCCCCGGTGGGGTGCTCGGGTCGGCGAGGGCGGCGCCGGACGCCGGCAGTGTTCGCTTTCCCCGTGGGGAGAGCGGCATTACTGGCGAGCCACGCCAGGGTCTTGCCTTCTTCACGCAGGTGTTCCATTCGGGGGGTTTGGTCACCCCAAGGTCGTTCTGCACCCCCGGAGCACCGTTGCACTTTCTGGGGTCGGGGGACGGGGTATGGGTTGGGGGAATGGGTGGGAGGATGGGGCCGTCGCGCGCCGTGTTCGCAGGTGGAGCGCGCGCGCGCGCGCGGAGGAGCGGGCCGCCCGCGTGCGCTTCGCGCCGCGGCGGGGCGCGTGCGATTCGCGGCGCGCGAAAGTTGCCAGGAGCCGCGCAGGGCGCGGCGCGGGGAATAGGCTGTCGGTGATTATGCGGCGCATGCAGTTCCACCCCCCATTTTGGCACACCCCACACACGTTTCGTGGCCCCATAGGGAGCTCCACCGACGGCCCCAGTGGCTGCGTTCGCTTTTGCGGCGCATGCGGTTCCACCCCCCATTCGGCACACCCCTCACACGTTTCGTGGCCCCATAGGGAGCTCCACCGAAGGCCCCAGTGGCTGCGTTCGCTTTTGCGGCGCATGCGGTTCCACCCCCCATTTCGGCACACCCCTCACACGTTTCGTGGCCCCTTAGGGAGCTCCACCAAAGGTCCCAGTGGCTGCGTTCGCTTTTGCGGCGCATGCGGTTCCACCCCCCACTTTGGCACACCCCTCACACGTTTCGTGGCCCCATAGGGAGCTCCACCGAAGGCCCCAGTGGCTGCGTTCGCTTTTGCGGCGCATGCGGTTCCACCCCCCATTTCGGCACACCCCTCACACGTTTCGTGGCCCCATAGGGAGCTCCACCGAAGGCCCCAGTGGCTGCGTTCGCTTTTGCGGCGCATGCGGTTCCACCCCCCATCGGCACACCCCTCACACGTTTCGTGGCCCCAGCTCCCCCCCAGTGGCTGCGTTCGCTTTTGCGGCGCATGGTTCCACCCCCATTTCGGCACACCCCTCACACGCTTCGTGGCCCCATAGGGAGCTCCACCAAAGGTCCCAGTGGCTGCGTTCGCTTTTGCTGCGCATGCGGTTCAACCCCCCATTTTGGCACACCCCTCACACGTTTCGTGGCCCCTTAGGGAGCTCCACCGACGGCCCCAGTGGCTGCGTTCGCATGCGGTTCCACCCCCATTTCGGCACACCCCTCAAACGTTTCGTGGCCCCATAGGGAGCTCCACCAATGGTCCTAGTGGCTGCGTTCGCTTTTGCGGCGCATGCAGTTCCACCCCCCATGTCAGCACACCCCTCAAACGTTTCGTGGCCCCATAGGGAGCTCCACCGAAGGCCCCAGTGGCTGCGTTCGCATGCGGTTCCACCCCCCATTTTTGGCACACCCCTCACACGTTTCGTGGCCCCTTAGGGAACTCCACCGAAGGCCCCAGTGGCTGCGTTCGCATGCGGTTCCACCCTCCATTTCGGCACACCCCTCGCACGTTTCGTGGTCTGAGGCGGCACCACCGAATGCCGCAGCGGCATGTTCGGCATGTCGGTGTTGCCCCATGTCTGTACACCCCTCACACGTTTCGTGGCCCCATAGGGAGCTCCACCGAAAGCCCCAGTGTCAGGGTTCGCATGGCGGCCTTGGGCCATTTCGGCACACCCCTCACGAGGATCGTGGCCCCATGGGAGCCCCACCGATGTCGCCCGTGGCAGCATCCTTCATGGCTCTCAGAGCCCTCTCCTGCTTCTGCTCCTCGGTCAGGGGGACGCCGTCCTCGTCGTCGTCGGCGCCCGCGAAGACGGCCACGAACGTGTCCCTGAGCATGTCGGGCCCCGGCGGGGAGCCATGGCTACATAGGGAGCGCGGGCGAAGATGGTATTCACAATTGCGGTATTCACAACTGCGTATGGTTGGGTCCATCGCCAGGCTAATTTTTCTCTGCGATTGTCGGCTGTCCCGTGGTCGTTCCGTGGTTTGGCTCGTTCGGTTGGTCCCATGGGGTGTCGTGGTGGCGTCGTGGGATTGTGGCGTCTTGGATTGGTGTGAGACGGTTGTGCCGATGGGTGTCCCAATTGATTTGCGACAATATGCCGACGGGAGTCGTCCTGCTCATTGCGGCTCGAGCACGGCGCAGGCTCGGCATGTGATGACCCGTTCAGTTAGTGTACGTACCACTTGATCTGTTGTGGTGCCCCGATGGATCTACGTCCACTTGTTCAATTGTGTATGTACCGATGTCCTCCAATATGGTGTTCTGAGTTCTAATGGCGTTCTCCCTTTGGTCATCTCCATCGCCAATGTCTGCAATACTCTTCATCTTCGTCGCCGGCAATTTGTATGTATGTATGTATGTATATATATATATATGTATATATATATATATATATATATATATATATATATATATATATATATATATATATATCGTATCTATATATGGATATACAGTCGTCCTCTTCAGTGCGAAGTTTCGCTGCTCAGTGCATCGCGCCATGGTGCCATTTGCACATAGACGTGCTCGTGCTTCAGCGAGCTGTCCAAGAAAAGTAGCCTCCAGAATGGCGCCTATATGCTTGGTACGCCAGTCTTCCGGAAAACGCTGGCTGAGTTCTTGTCCAAGCAGTATGGCAAAACCGTCGATTGGAGCTTGGGAGAGGAAATGCCATCAGGGTACGGGAAAGGCAAGTCGGAGTCAGGAGCCGGAACAGAAGGCCACGGCGGTTGCTGGTAGGATGCGTCGAGATGCCCAGCTTTCCATGACATTGCTCATTTGATCATTGAGCTGCGTCTCCCGAGGCGGTTCTGGCGTTGACTTCGATCACCTCGCGGTAGCGCTCGTCGTGTTTATTTTCGAATGAAATTTCCTCGCTGACCCATCCAGAAATTGGTGCAGCACCCTTGTTGCCTGTCTCTTTGGCTCCTTTTGGGGTTCTCCTCGTGGCGTCGTGGGCTGTAGCTCATCTCTGTGGTGTAGTCTAGTAGTAAGGGGAAGTGCATATCGTGTGCTGCGCCTCGGAGAGCCACAATTAGCAGATGGTGAGCTGCACCAGGGGGCATCGCCCGCGAGGATCGAAGGAGTTGGCATGTCTTGCCCTGCGGAAGGCCAGCGGCAGTAAAACGACAGTGTTTCCGCCGACGAAATGCGGCAGAAGTTAAACATCACCCTCAAGGAGCCTCATGACCGTCACAACATTGTTCAGAATGAACGGTTTATTTTGGAAACAGGCGGGTGTCCCAGACTTGTTTCTTGTAAGGCCCGTCTCCTTCATGATGAACGTCCCCATGTGTACGAAAGTATTGATAGCGGTTGCAGTTCCTTTTGTGTACACATATGTTTATATGTATGTACATAGAGCGAAGGCGCCTACGGCGAATCACCGTGCCCCCTGCTTTTTGGAAACGCCCATGCGGCCAAAAGCTGGGCCGAAGTCTGGCCTCGCGATTCGACGATGTGTTTTACCAGCCGTTGTGGAACACCTTGGGGCAACACTTTGGGAGAGGAGGAGGAACGAGGAGAGGGAGGAAACGGAGGAGCGGGGAGGAAGAGGTGGAGGCCTCTCGAGGCGCTCTGGGCTCCTGTGGGCTCCCTGGGACGCCTCGGAGCAGCGGGGGCCGCCCTGGGGCGAGACCTCAACCCGGCGGCCTCGACAGCCAGGCGAGCTGCCCCGCCGCATGCTGAATGAAGGCCTCGGAGCGGCGGCGAACCACCGCGCGACGGCCGCAGCCCCGCGAGCCCGCCGCGCTTCGCCGTCGGACGCAGTCGAGCTCGCCATGGCGAGGACCGGCCGCTCCAAGCGCATCAGCGCTCGAGCGTGAAGCAGAAATCGTCTCGATAGGAACCGGCCTTCGCGGCTAGACGTGATATGCGCAAGGTGTGGTGACGCTAACCCGGTTCGGATGCAACTCCTGGGAGGTCACATTCTGATTTTGCCCTGGTCCTTCATCCCGCTTAATCCCGCTTAATCCCGTTTAATTCCGCTTGATCTTGCTTAGTCCGAGGCCCTCTCCGGCGCAACAGCTCCCAAATGGGGCTTAATCCTCTTTAATCTTTCCGACGGAAACCTCCCAGTAGTTGCCTCCTAAACCCTGCCAGCCACCCGGGCAACGAACAACAAAACTTTGAGTCGGAGAGCCCCCTCGCCACCGAGCTGCGGGACGAGCTGGACCTCGCCCTCTCGGGGGGCCCCGAGAGGGCTCGGAGCCGAGGCCGCCCGCGGAGAACGCCGTGGGCTCCGCAGGGTCGGCAGAGATGGGGCAGCCAGGGAGCCGCTGTGGCAGCCCAAGGAGATCCCGGAAGCCCCAAAGAGGTTCCCGACGTGCCCCCGGCAGGCCCTCGGGATGCCCCAGCATAGGCCCCAGATGGCCCCAACAGCCCCCAGGGTGGCCCCAGCAGATCACGAGGGCCCCCCCTGCGTCGACGTCCCTGCTCTCGAGCTCCTTACTGTTCTCTTTCGTCGTCGTCATCATCTTCTGCCTCCTCCTCCTCCTCCTCTTGCTTCCGTTTCCTCCTCCTCTGCTTCGTTCCTCCTCGCACTCGTCCTCCAGCTCTCCCTCGTCCTCGCGCTTGTCTTCCTACTCGTTGCCCCTTGCTCTCATCGCTGCCCCCCCCGTCATCCACGCTGTCGGCCTCATCATCCGCCGCCTTGTCGTTGCCATCATCCTTACGCGCCCAGTTGGCCAACGTGGCGTTTCCCTGTCTTGTCCGATTATATTTTCTCTGCTTTCCCCACGGAGCAGAAGTAGCAAATGAGGCACATGATGATCGCATGTTTTGTTGTTTGGGTTGGGTAGGGAGTGACAGCGTTCACAAAGAGATGGAATTTCGGTACGGTTCTGCAGCGCAGGAATTGCATCATGAGCACGGGTGGCTCGTCCATGGGCACGGACATCTCCATTCGGATCCATTCGGCAGCGGGGGACTACGCTGTGTCCGAAGCGCCTACTTATTATCTGGCCCACGAAATGATGAGGACCCGCAGATCAGATAGAATGCACATGATTGCCGCAACCGGTTGCCAACGATACGAAAACAATTCGTGCAGTGACATGTCCATTGGAACAGACACACGCAGATGCAGTGAACGCAGCTGCAACGATTTGCATCGTTGCCGGCGTTGTTGGACAGACATTGTTCGAGCGTTCTGCCACAGTCCATGTTTGGATGATCCAGAGGATCATCCTGAAAGCCGTGTCGTATGTCTGTTTTGGTTTGGGACGAAAGTACAGCAGAGTTTGTCATTGTTGTGTTCTGTGTCGCACGTGGGCTGCGTTTCGTGGTTTCGGGGGCGACGGTTGCAGGGCCCGGCGCCCTGCACGCATCAGGCGTGGTACGGCACACGCAGACACAATTCACCGTCGATTCCCCCGAAAACATGGGAACCTATGGGAAGTGGGGGGGAAAACAGGAACCCAGAAACTATAGGAAGATATGGGGAATCTGGTTATTTGTGTTTATTTATTTGTTCGGATGCAACTCCTGGGAGGTCAAATTCTGATTTTGCCCTGGTCCGAAATCCGGCTTAATCCCGCTTAATCCAGTTTCCCAGCCTAATCCCGCTGAATCCGGCGTAATTCCGCTCAATCCGAGGCCCACTCCGGCGTAACAGCTCCCAAATGGGGCTCAATCCTCCTTAATCCTTGCGTCGGAAGCCTCCCAGTAGTTGCCTCCTGATTTATTTGTGTGTGCCAGTTCCCCTTGAAAGACACATGAACGGCTGGGTAGTCGAAGGCCAGACTGTCAGATTGGATTGGGCCCCAAGGGCCAATCTAGCCCGGCCAAACTGGATGATTTGGGTTATTCGCCAGACTGGATTCGCGTTGGCTCCCTCGCCAGATTGCCCCCGTTTGCCAGATTGGGCCTACCAGATTGGCGCCAGATTGGGTTCGACTACCCAGCTTATGATGTTTTGACTATTCGGGGGCATTTTTGCGTATTCTTCATTTTTCATCGACAATCCTTTTGTAGGGGGACAGGCCCGACTTCACGCCAGGGAAGGATTTCCTGGATCGACGCTGGGACCCCCTCCCTGGCGCGTGGAGCACGCCAGGGGCGACGCTGCAGGCGCCGCCAGGGGGCAGTCGGCAGTCGGGGCCAGTACACGCGGAGATTCCAAACTATACTATGTGTTTGCAGTTCTTCCTGCTCGATAAGAGTGAGGGGCGCGCAGTCTGTCTTGCCAGCTGTCTTGACGGGGCTGAAGGGGCCTCGAGCGCAAACGTAAAGCAGCCCGCCGCGGGCGTCAAATTTTCCAGAGTAGGCCGCCGGATGGAGGAGGATGAGGAGGAGGAGGAGGAGGAGGAGGAGAAGGAGGAGAAGGAGGAGGGATAATGAAATCGCCAGGGGGGTGCGCTCAATGCCGGGTCTGGGCCCCAATTAGAGCAGGTCGACCTCGGACCCCCGCTCCTCAATGGAGTCCTCGTCGCCTCGCTGCGCGAGAGTGCGCTGGCCGAGTGCACGGGACCAGTTCGAGCTCCTTCTCCCAAAGCCCGAACGCCTGAAATACAGCCGGGGCGCTGAAAAAAGAGGCCGTTTTTGTTGGGGAGGGGCTCCGTGTTCCTTGATTGTTTCGCAGTTTGCCTTGGGTTCCTTATGTAGGGTTCCTTAGGTCAAAGCCCCGACTGTATTTCGGCCGGCCATCCCTCCTCTGCCCTACCCCAGCCACCACCTGCAAGCTGTACAGCGGCCTGCGCTGGCGGGGGCTCAGTGGCTGGGCGCTCCTGGTCTCCCGAAGGCCCAGCGTCAAGCAGTGGCGAAGCGTCCTGGCTCGCCCATGTCCCTACCAGACACTGTTCTAAGAACCCCTTCGTGGTGTCCACGAAATGTTCTTAGAACATTTCTGGTTGAGTTTGTCTTGTGTTAACACATCGGGTGCATGTTCCAAGAGCATCGTTTTTGTTCTTAGGACGTTTTGGGGTTCTAAGAGCATTTCGTGGTATGACTGTAGGAATGCCGGGACGGTCGGTCCCTGCTCAACAGCGGGGGCGTGCCTGCGGGACATTACCGGCCACCATCTCCAGAGCCGGCCCGCCGCGGGCCCAGAGTCGGGTATAGCCGGGACCCCAGGTAAGGTATAACCAGGGCCCCAGAGCCTTTAAACTTGCCAGAGTCGCTAAACCAGGTCAGGTGTTTTTTTCGGCGGGCGGCAGTTCCGGTTGGTGGAACGGGGCGGGGGGGGGTCCCCTGCTACACATCACTAAACCAGGTCCCACTAAACCCAGGTCTGCCAATGCCCGACAGATGTGTGTTGCAAGTGGATCTGGAAGGGTTGCAGGGCGGGGCGTCCGCGGGTCGCGAGGCGCGATCTCCACTGTAAAGAAGCCCGCGGCAGACAGCAGCTCAGAGGACGGGGAGATGAGGCAACGGTACGGTCGGACCGAGGTACAAGATCGAGACAGGTTCGGGGAGGGTATGACCTAACGCTCTTCGTGTCTGTTGGGTGCTCTTGTGCATCCTGACGGGGGGTACCCTAATGTTTGGTGGATGGGTTGGGGTGGTTTGCCTGTCGGAGGGCCTCATGTTCTTGAAGTGTGTTCTTTTGTTTCAGGTCCGGCCGTAGTTGGCCTTCGGGGGGCCCTTCGTCGCTACGGCAGGGCGCAGCTCGGAAAATTGATGCGGTTGGACCCCCGAAGGAGTCCTGGGACCGATTTGAGTTGCCGTTGTCTCAGCTCGCCCGGCTCCGATATCTTTTCACAGCCAGCCCGCCGTTGGCGGCGATTTGATTGATGGAAAAGTGTGGGTGGGTCGTGGGTGTGGATCGCGGGTGGGTCGCGGGTTGGTTCGCGGGCGGGTCGCGGGTGGGCAGCGGGGCGGGCGACGTTGACATCAATCGCAAGAATCACAATCTGCAGCGTGGACCCCATTTCAGCCACGCACCCAGCGACAATGTAAGACAGTTCGCCCCGTCACTCCGATGTTATGACCATGCGGAGTCGTACAATCGATTTGCAAATTGCCCGTGCATCTACTTTCCTGTTTCGCCATGTCTATGTAACCCCGTGCCCCCAGTAACAAAGTATCCCCCTTTTCAGGTCAGAGAGTTGATCACCCCGGGCATGGACAGTTGGACGGGGGAAAGGGGCGGCGAGGCCGAACTTCATTACCGCTGGCGAAAATACCAGTCGAAGATGCTAGATCAGTAGCGTATTATACAGTGTGCGCCTTATTTTTACATTTTTTATTACTACTACTACTACTACTACTAATGTTATTAGTGCTTACTACTGCCACTACTATGGTTACCACTACTTCTGCTACAACACTGATTACGAGTACTACCACTACTACTACCACTACAACTACTACTACAACTACTACCACTACCACTACTATTATTACTACTACTACTACTCCTACGATCACGTCTACTACTACTACTACTACTACTACTACTACTACTACTGCTACGACTACTTGTACTACTACTACTACTACGACTACTACTACTACTACTACTACTACTACTACTACGACTACGACTACGACTACGACTACCATACTACTACTACTACTACTACTACTACTACTACTAGCACTAGCACTACTACTACTACTACTACTACTACTACTACTACTACTACTACTACTACTACTTTTACTTTTACTACTACTACTACTACTGCTACTACTACTACTACTACTACTAGTACTACTACTACTACTACTACTACTCATACTACAACGACTTTTACTATGATTATTAATACTACGACGACTACTACTATTACTACGACTGCGACCACTAAAACTACGACTATGACTTTTCAATATTATTCGTCATACTACGATACGAATACTTATTGCTTAGCATCACTTCTACAACAACAAGTTGTACTATTACATTTGCCACTACTACCACTTCTCGTTTTACGCGTACCACACTTACTCCACCCATGTATACTTCAATTCGTAATTGACCTACGACGACGACAAATATGTAGACGACTACTACTACTGCATCTTTCTACAACTACTACCACACATGATGCAATTCGTAATAATACTGGTAGCCGTAGTAGTAGTAGTAGTAGTAGTAGTAGTAGTAGTAGTAGTAGTAGTAGTAGTAGTAGTAGTAGTAGTCGTGGTAGTAGTAGTAGTAGTAGTAGTAGTAGTAGTAGTAGTAGTAGTAGTAGTAGTAGTAGTAGTAGTAGTAGTAGTAGTAGTAGTAGTAGTAGTAGTAGTAGTAGTAGTAGTAGTAGTAGTAGTAGTAGTAGTAGTAGTAGCAGTCGTAGTAGTAGTAGTAGTCGTAGTAGTAGTAGTAGTAGTAGTCGTAGTAGTAGTAGTAGTATTTCTACCTTTTTAAACTTCGGTGGCGGCTGCTACTACTCCTTCTACTACTACTACTACTCTTGCATCGGTTTCCACTAACTGCCACGACTGCTACTACTACGACTTCTGCCACGAGTATTACTACCACTCTTGCTACAACAAGTGCCACCACCATCGCATATTATTTTAGCCGCCACTACTACGACGACTTCTATTACTACTCCTACGGCCACCACTCGTACCGAACTTTGTACTCGTATCAGTATTGTTCGTGGTGGTGCTTCTACTACTACTACTACTACTACTACTACTACTACTACTACTACCACCACTACTACTACTACTACTACTTCTATTTTTCGCGTACTACACAGACTTCACCCACTCGTACTTCAATTCAGATTTGAGCTACGACGACGGCGAAAAACGTCTATGGTTATTAGTATCATTGCAAGTTTCTACAGATACGACCACTAACCCTATTCGTGTTATTACCCGTAGCCATAGTACTAGCAGTCGTAGCCGTAGTAACAGTAGTGTTGCTACCATTATTACAGTTTCGATGGCGGCTACTACTGCTTTCGCTACTGCTATTATTCTTACTGTTTCGATTGCCACTTACTACTGTTACTGGCAGTTACTGCTGCTACTACGGCCACTGCGACGAGTACTAGGACCACCACGGCTACAACAAGTATCACCACATCGCATCTTACTGCACTCGCCACTACTACGAGTACTTATACCACCACTTTTATTACTACGGCCACCACTTGTACCGATCTTAGTACTCGTGTCAGTATTGTTCTTAGTGGAACTGCTACCACTGCTACTACTACTACTACTACTACTACGACTTCTACTTCTGCTGCTGCCACTGCTGCTTTAACTAATATTACGACCGCGGCTACCACTACTACTATTACTATTACTACTACTACTACTACTACTACTACTACTACTACTACTACTACTACTACTACGGCTGGTACCCTTGCTATTATTACGGCGACTACTTTTACTTATGATTTTTATTACTACTACGGCAAGTGCGATTACTACTACTACCCCCTTTTTCTCCTACTCGTAGTACTACTACGACGACCTCTTCTAGTTCCACCAATCTATATTAAGCGCTGTTATCATCAGTATTGTTTTCACACATTGATTGCGACACTAATATTAGTACTGCAACTACGACTACTACCCTCTTTGCTACGACTACTTGCTACTTATCCCGTGACTATTCGTATTCACCGTACTCCTACTACTAGTTTGCTTATTATTGCGAATCGTGCGACTACTACAGTTAGTAGGACTAGCACTTCTATGTGTGTTATTTCCATTGTTGCTACTCTTGCAAGTCTTATTATCAGTATTACCATTATGCCCATTCCAAAATGTAAGCACTCTTACTATTTCATCTATTACGATGACTCCACTTCTACTACTCCTTGTTGCTGTTACTAGTAGTAGTAGTAGTAGTAGTAGTAGTAGCAGTAGTACTAGTAGTAGTAGTATTACTACTACTACTACGACTACGACTACGACTACTACAACTATTACTATTTCTGCACCTCCACTACTACACGTATGTTTAACGACAACGGTTACTATTGGTGTTCGTTTTGTCGTTGCTGCTACTACGACTACTTCCCTTACTACGAGCACTACTACTACTACTACTACTACTACTACTACTACTACTACTACTACTACTACTACTACTACTACTACTGCTGCTGCTACTACTACTACTACTACTAATACTACCACTACCACTACCACTACGACTCCGACTACTACTACTACTACTACTATACTACTACTACTACTACTACTACTACTACTACTACTACTACTACCACTACTACTACTACTACTACTACTACTACTACTACTACTACTACTACTACTACTACTACTACTACTGACTACTACTACTACTACTACTACTACTACTACTACTACTACTACTACTACTACTACTAGTATTATCATGATTCGTACTACTACCACGACTACTATTACTCTATTACTACTACTACTACTACTACTGGTACTACCCCATCACATCTTCCAAATGCTCAAAAAAACAACAATTCCCACCACCACTACTGATTTTTCCAGGACGATTATTCTTTGCATTACTGCGACCACCATTGCTACACATTTTTAACAATCTCATCCTGCACTCGCACTCCCAACGGGTGAACCCTTTTTTGGTTGTACCTTGGTTTAATTGCCGCCGCAATATCCCCGATATGGTCTCCCCCACACGAGGACTTGACAGTTTTCCGGCGTCATATGTTTTATATACATACATATGTGTATGGATATGAATATGGGTCTTCCACGGTGACTTAGATGGGCTGCGCACATCTCGCAATTAGCATGGATTCCGGAAGCAAGTGATGAATGCCAAACGCTTCGCGTAAGACCACCAGCCCACCCAGAAAAGAAGAATGCCCGGACGAACTGCTCGGAATCAAGGATGTGGATAATACAGCGAGACAAATGTTTGGGCAAGACGTCGTACCCCAAAGGGAGGAGGAACTGGAGGAGGAGTTCGAGGAGGATGCCGTGGTGGAGGAGGAAGAGGAGGTCCCGCCAAAGGAGTTCGAGGAGGAGGAGGTGGAGGAGGTGGAGGAGGAGGAGGAGCAGCAGGGGGAGGGGGAGGAGGAGGGGAAGTAGGAAGAGCAGGAGGAGCAGGAGGAGGATGGTAGAGGAGGGGGCTCCTTACTCAGGGCCCTCCCGCCAGGAGGCCAACATGTGGCCAAACCCATGGTCAAATCAATGAAGTTGGCCTTCTCGCCGAGGCCTCTTGGGGTGTCTTTGGTGCCTCTGGGGGGCATCTTGAAGCCTCTTGGGGGTCTCCCGGGAGTCTCTTGGAGGCCTCTTGGGGGCTTTGGGGGGCCTGTTTGGGCTCCTGGGCACCTCTTGGGGCCCTCTTGGAGCCTCCTTGGGAGCCCCTAGGCCCATCGTTGGTCCATCCTGGTGGAGACCGGTAAGCCAGGGAGTCTCCTTAAGGCCCCCCCCCAGGAGGCCACCATGTCTCCATAAGATTCGTAAAATCAGCGATTGTGGCCTCCTCGCGGAGTCCATCCTGGACGCCCCAACGACCCACGAAACGCCCCTTCCAGACCCAGGGATTCGGATGCAAGGCCTGGGAGGTCAAATTCGGATTTTGCCCTGGTCCGAAATCCGGCTTAAGCCAGCTTAATCCCGTTTAATCCCTCCCGCCGCTTAGTCCCGCTTGATGCCGCTTAATCCAGCTTAATCCCTTTAAATCCGCGGCCCACTCCGGCGTAACAGCTCCCAAATGGGGACTCATCCTCCTTAATAATCTCCGACGAAAACCTCCCAGTAGCTTCCTCCTAACAGGGAGAGAAACTTTACCTAATGGAGCGCGTAAGCCCTTCCCACTGACGCCAAAATTGTCCCGACTGTTCCCTCCCCCAGGCGGCCCGTCCCGGATGCATGCCAGAGAGCCCCCAATCGTCGTTTTGGTTTCCGGTCGGTGTTAGGCTGGCCCCTCGCCCCCGAGGGCCTCCCAAAGTCGCCTTTGGGCCATCTTGGGGCCATGTTGGGGCCGCCTTGGGGCTGTCTTGGGGCCATTTTGCGTCCATGTAGGCCATGCTGGAGTTCTCTTGGAGCCATCCTGAGGCCGCTGGCGCTCATCGGAAGAAAAAAGCTGAAAAGCCAGATACTTCTAAATTTATGATTTTCGCCTCTCGAGTGCCTCATTGGCGAGCACTGTGGCAAGATCAAACCATATTTTGGTCGCCTGTGCGCCTCTTGGACGCATGTTGGAGACCATCCAGGGCTAGCGTCGACCACCCCGCGCCATCCTGGAAGCCATCCTGGGCTATCTGGAGCTCTGATGGAGCCATCTCGGCTGCCCAGAGTGGTCCTGAAGGGGTCAAGATGCCCTCCGGGGCGGGGCGGTCCAAGAGGGGCCCCAGATGCGCCCGAATCGGTACGGCGCCAACAAGGGCCACCCCTCCTTTGGAAGACGGAAACATCGTCGAGACCCTCAAGACGGCCCCAAGACGCCTCCAGACGGCCCAGGACGGCTCCGAGACCTTGGTATCGCTCGGACGTGTGCACTTTTTCTCGGCGGGGATTAGTAAGGAGCATCCTGGATCATCCTGCGACAAAAAAAAAAAACACGCACGAAACCGAACAAAAACATGGGGAATGGACGTCCGAGCGATGGCCAGAGGCGCCCCAAGATATCCCCAAAGCGGCCTAAGGTGGCCCCCAGGACAGCCGCAGACGCTCCCAAGAGGCGCGCAGGAGGGCTCCAAGATGTCTCCGATAACGACCTTCTCTCAGAGACTCCTTCCCAGAATTCTCCCCAGGACCTTCCTGGACCCCTCCCAGGACTCTCCCGGACTCCTCCCGGGGCCAAGCCCTTGTGAAAAAGCATCGAGATCTTCACACCAGTATATATATATATATATATATATATATATATATATATTTATAAGAATATGGACCGGGACAGCTAGTCTGGTGGTGCGGGCGAATCGACATGTTAGGAGAAACATTGTGTCCGTAGGCGATGCGGAAACTTGAGCAACGAGAAGACAGCGATTCGTCGAATAGCCTCAAGGCTACGAAAACGTCAATTAGTCGAATGGTCAATGCGTAAAGAAGGACAAACATTAGACAAATGCAGAAGGTTACGGTGTGGGGTTGGGGAAGGGGTAAACCCCCCCGGGGGGGACAGCAGAAGGGGGTCGGAAGAGGAAACTCTCTCAACCAGTCACGCCGGAAAGGCCTGGTGAGATTGCAAGCGCCTACGTGAGGTACACACGCACACATACGCATGACTTAATATGATGCCGCTGGCTGTACCCAGCGATGATGGTTACCAGCCAGTTTGGTCCAGAAGGGATGTCACTTATTTGTTTGAGTCTGCTAGAGTTTTCTGAACAGTCCAGTACAGGAGTGACCAACATCCATGTATGGTGAGGGTCAGGCAGGGTACAGTCTTTCAATCAGTCGATGACCATTTGTCAGTGCAGATGTTGTTGAGCTCGCATGCGTACGTGACTTGACTTCATTTGATGTTGAGCATTACGGACTCCCTGGAAGGAACCGGGGCCTCAATCTCTTGGAGGTTCCCTTGCAGCCGGATGGCATGGTGTCGGGCGCAGTCTCGCCTTGGTCCACGATTAGGGGGCCGGACGCAGATCGTGAATGCTGTCGGTCTCGATCTTCAGTGATCGCTTGATTTGGATGGTTGAAGGTCGGCGGATTTTCCGAAAGGGTCACATCTAGATTGGGTACACGTGGTGATGCGGTGGGGGGTCTTCAAGCCAAGTGCCTAGCCGATCTGTCCGCAGATTGTCGTGTCTGTCCACGAATCTTCACGCGGGTCGGGGGCGTGGACCGACGCCCATCTATTTTCAATTTCAAAACGTTTGCCGGTCTCTTGATGGATGTAATGTTTGGCTGTGTGAGTGTTTCACTTCAGTCTTCGCATGCCATGATCTCATCAGTTTTGATTCGTGTGGGGCTTTCGTTGATTCGGTCATTGAGACGTGAGCTCATCTCCGTTGCAATTTGTTCTTCAACCGTGCTTGCACTTCGGGGTTTGTCAGTTCTCTTCCAAGGAACTGTGCGTGATCCCCGAGGTCCCGTTCCCATCCGACAGTTTTCAGGAGAGGAACAAACACACAGACACAATTAATCGTCGATTCCCCAGAAAATATGGGAAGTGGGGGGAAGACAGAAACCCAGAAAATATGTGAAAATATTGGGAATCTGTTTATTTGTGTGTATTTATTTGTGTGTCCTGGGGCCTGGGGTCCCTTCAGATTTGTCCAAACAGAAGGGTCGTTTGCTGCCCCTGCTGCCCCGCCCAGTCGCATTGCGCTCGCATTGCTTTGCGCTGCATGTCATCGCATTGTTTTGCATTGCTTCGCATTCGTTTGGGTCGCGCTACAGCGCTCTGCGTTGTTTTTCATTGCTCTGCCGTTTTGCATTGCGTTGTGCTGTATTTGCGCTGCTCTGCATTGCTCTGCGTTGCATTTCGTTGTGTTGAGTTGTGTTGCTTTGCATTGCTGTGCGCCACATAGTCTGCGCCGCCTTGATTGCAACACATTGAGTGCACCACCTGTTTGCACCCCACATATTTGAAGATCTCACTGTTTTGGGTCCTCGCTGGCTAACAGGGTATTATGTTACGTTGTAGGAAGGTTTTCCAGCTTAGACAAAGTTCTATGTATGTTTGACCTCACTGTATCCTGGCATGGGCACTCGTAGTTCTGCGGGACTTAGCCGCACCTACAAATTATGGTCTGAGTGTTTGAACCCCCACTAGCTCAGGACATGTTTACGTTGCATCATCGGGGCACCTTGTCTGTCCTACAACTTCAGTGTGTGTCTTGAGCCCGACGCCTGCTCGGCGTGGATTCGGCTCGCATTCGTCGTCATTTGACATGTATTCGATGTGGATTCGACGCGGATAGCGGCGTGGTGAGACAGACAAGGCCCTTCAAAAAAGCTTAATACATCCCTCCTCGAAATTAATCTCAAGTTTTGATCCGACCCACTAGCCCTCGAATTTTAATGTTGATTGACGCGCGCAGCGCGGCCAGTGGGGTCAACCAACAAATTGCAGTCGCCAGTGTCGGCGTCAACATTGACATTTGGAATCCACTGCCCCTCTGTTATGAGGCCGTTGTATAGGAGAGGGAACAGAGGACAGAGTGTTTACACAGTTTTGAGGAATTAGTGAATTCAGTATGGGTCCGGCTTGAAGTGCCTCGAAGAAAGCGCGCACACCCGAATCGCAGACATATGGCTATATGCGGACCCAGGACACTTTGCTTCCCGTCGTCGTCCTCGCCCTTGCTCCGTTCCCCTTCCTTTCCCCCCTCCCCCAGATGGTGTCGAAAGCGTCCGCGGCTCGGGCGGGGGAGAGCCCCTTCCCACCTCCCTCATTATTCCTCGTGCCTCTCTGCCTCCCTGCTCCACCATCCGTCGTCCTACCTCGCCCACCCTCCTTGTTCGAAAAATGAAGTGCCTGGCGCCGCGTGCCCGCGTCAGCGGTAAATGCTTTTTCGATATCCGAGCACAGCGGCGCAACCAAACAGAGGGGATTGCCAATGCGAGATTTCGGGGCGCACCCAAAATGCGGGCGGCACGGCCGCCGAACACAGTCGCATCGCTAACATGTAAATTATAGGTGCCTGCGGCGAGGTCCGCCCCCCTTGCCAGAGCAGTGATCTATATGGCGACGCGTGGAGCTTTGACTGTTAAGAGGTCCTTGACATGTGACATCTCTCGTGTTTTCGGATTGCTGCGCGGCATTCTTTGGGGTCCTTCGAGGCCTTTTGGGACGTCTTCGGGCCGTTGGGGGCCGCTTTGGCGCCGCGTTGCACCGCGGCCGCCCTGGGCCAGGGAAGCGTGTATTTGCGGCTCTCTCGGGGGCGCCCTGGGCCGGGGAAGTGTGTATTCGCATTCCCCCCCAGCTGGGCATGTCGACCTCGGTTCTGGGTTGGCAAAGTCGGGGCGCCCTCGAGGTGGCGAGCGTTCACCTTTTCGAAATACACAGATCAAGGTGTGATCTGTGTACACAGTTTGTGTCTTCAACTGTGTATTTTCGTGTGTGGGCCCGCTGTTTACACAGATCGTGGTGTGATCTGTGTACACAGATCTCGTTCCCATCTGTGTATTTGGAGTGTGCCCCTCGCGGGTGGTGTTGAATGGGCGGGAACTTTCGCGTTTCTCTTCCGGCTGGTCCAGGGGCGGCGTCGTGCGCGGTCGAAATACACAGCTCGTGTCTCCAACTGTGCATTTGTTGCGCGCCTCTCGCTGGAGTGGTCACTGGGCGGGAGTTTCCGCGGGTCTCCCGGCTGGTCCAGGAGGGGGCCGTGGTCTGGGCATGCAAAGGCGCGGGGGGGTTGGGATGGTGGGCTGTGGGAAGGAAGGGGTTCGATAGGATGGTGGACGTGAATTGACACATGGGGGGGGGGCAGTGTAGATGAAGGGCATGATGAGGACCGGGGCAATCGGAGGGGCATGAGGAGGGTGGGGCCGCAGCGAAGGGATATTTGGAAAAGGCGGGGGATGGGGCATGAGTTCGAGGCGGGCGCCAGCTAACGATTAGCTGAACAGTGTTTTGCGTGTCCGCGCACCCCCAGAGCACAGTGACTGGTTGCAGAACTTCATGATATGGGTAATCGTGCGCTTCGTGCTTCCGGACCAAAGGCTCGAGTCCGCGACGCCCGTTGGCGTCGCGATGATGCCGCCCCGATCTGCCAGACCGCATATGCACAGATACGCAAAATATGTGTGGCAACGTTTGTTTCATGACCCTTTCTATATCAACAGACCCACGTTGGAACCCAAATTGACATTCGGGGTCTGGGGTCGTCGCCATGTCGTGGGAAAACGTGCGTTTGATTTCGAGGAGGGATGTCGGACAGACGAGCTTAGTTATGAGTCGTCGCATCGTGTACCAATGCGTTGATTTAACGTTGGTTCAGCTTGCATCTATTTGCTTGAACGTTAGTCAGCTCATAGCTGGATTTGCTTTTCAGGAGGCATATCTGGACAGACTGGCTCATGCTTGGTCACCTTAGTGGTACTTTACTTTACTGTTGGGTAGTTCCGTTTAGTTTGTATTAGCTTCGTTTGCTGGTCCAGCTTACTATCACGCGTATGTACGAACGTGCTCTTGCTCTGGCTTATCGGTGACGTTCGCATTCGTTGCAGCAGTACCACAAGTCTTTTTATGTGTAAACACGGCTTGATGGTAAGATGTACCACTATCTCTGCGTGAGTTTGACACATAGACATAGGTAGAAACCGTCTTGCAGTAGCCACTTTCGCTGAGACGCGTTCAGGATTGAAGCCCATTTCAGCAGTTCAGCGGTGGCTATCTTCGCCCAGCTTATTGATAGTTCCTTTAGTGAGTCCACCGTATAATCTCGCCGAGCACAGCCAAGGCTAGCTTCGTCGTTGTATTGCCGTGCGCCTCAGTTTGGCGTAGCAGTCTAGCGTAGCCGTGTCTAGCCGATCTTGTTTCAGTTCCGTTCAGGTTAACTTGTTGCAGACCAGCGCAACCTACCCTGGCCTAGCCTGGCCTAGCCCAGCCTGGCACGGCCCGCCATGGTCTAGATTAGCCGAGCTTCGTTCTATACAGCTCCCTCTTTGGCATCTGAATGTCGGCGTAACGTAATGTAAACCAGTTGCGCTATAGTCAGCGTCTGTTTCGTCATTCCGTTGGCGCCAGCTGCAGGTGGGAGTTAGCCGATGATTCTGGCGAGGCGCGAAACGAAACGTCGAGTTGTAACGATTGTGAGCTGAACTTGTTGGTTTAGCTGCAGCTTTGGCTGAGAGTGTTTGCGCACTGGTTCTGCGACTCGGCTGTAGCATTGCTCGGTTTTTGCGTGGCTCGGCTTAGCGTTGCGCAGGTTGGCTTACCTTCGTTCGCTCTCGGCTGTGCTATCTGAGCCCAGTTTCCTTAGGCGAAGGCTGCCTCACTTCACGAGTGCCATTCGTATTATCTTTGACCGTTTGGTCTCAACGATCGTATCCATACTTGCAAATAGTGGCCCTTGGTCGTGGACGAGGCCTCTTGGATACCTCTTGGGGCGAAGTTGCGAGTATATGTTGGGCTTCTTCTAAGCCGCTTGGGGCTGGGGGGGAGTAGCTCCAATGGTAATTTCGAGATCCCCCTCGCATGGCCTTCGTGGGCGCCTCCTGGGCCCGTCGTGGGGCGATCTTCGATGCGTCTTTTCGGATGCAACTCCTGGGAGGTCAAATTCTGTTTTCGCCCTGGTCCGAAATCCTGTAGAATTCGGCTTCATCCCGCTTAATCCAGCTTAATCCGGGCTGATCCCGCTTAATCCCGCTTAGTCCGGCGTAACAGCTCCCAAATGGGGCTTAATCCTCTTCAATATTTCCGACGAAAACATCCCAGTAGTTGCCTCCTAGCCTCTTGAGCCGTCTTCGACGCTGAAGTATGTTCCCATGGTGGTGGCCCCTCGGGCCTTGAAAACGGCCCAGGATGCCAGGAGGCCGCCAGGAGGCCTTAAGTCGGGCGTGTCCCCCTACAGGGGGATTTTCGACGATAAATAGAAATATCCCCAAATTGTTAAAAATACCAAAAAAATAGTCCCCAGACTATTTTTTTGACTATTTTTGAATATTCCTCCTGTAGCGGGACGGGCCCGACTTAAAGGAGGCCCCCGAATGAGCCCCAGGATGCTCTGCGGGGCCATCTCAAGACGTGGGAGGTGTGGTCGCCGACCCATGCTCCCGAGGTCTCCGGAGAAGTCTGCGTGGGACCCCCCGGTTTCGCCCAGATTGGTCCAGAAATTTTGGGTTTCTGCGGCCTGGGGCATTTGGGGATGTGGAGGACGATCAATGGAGAGGAAGCGTGTTGCCGAATAATTTCCAGATGTCTAAGAAATGTGTTAAACTGTTTTAAACATGTTAGAAGTCATGTTTTTAATCATTTCCATGACATGTTCCTACATTTTAACTGCATTTTTCATTCGATGATCGAACTGTTAGGGTGTCCATAGTCGTGGCATCCACAACCTTAGAGAGCATTTGCCACCGCGCTGAGGCTGGCTTTGGAGGGAGGCCGCCGGGATTGCGCTCCTGGCTTGTTGGGCGCTTTCGGAGGCCGTCTTTGGGGTCTATCTGTGCCGTCTTGGGGGCTTCTTGGGATGTCCTAGCGCCGTATTGGAGGTCTCGTGGCCCGCATGGAGTGTGGTCATCTTGTGGCCGTCTCGGGGGCTTTCGGGAGATCTTGGGGTCCTCGTGGATGCCACTTGCGCCCTCCTGGGGCTATTTGGGAGGCCCCTGTTGCCATATCGGGGTTTTGGAAGCCCGAGAAAAAGTGAATGCTATCATCTATTTGGGCAACTTCGGTACATCCTGGGGGTCCTCAGGGATGCTTCTTGGGGCATCTTGAGGGCCTTCCTGGACCGTCTTGGTACCATCGCGGCCGTGTTGGAGGCCTTCTTGGACCGTCCTGGGGGCCGTATAGGGCCATTTTGTCGATTTGGAGGCCATCGTTGACGTCTTGGATGTCATTTGGGGCCATCGTGGACTTCTTGGGGGCCCTTTTGGAGCTGCCCTGAGGGCGAGGGGGGTGGAGCGGGGAAGCTGGGCGAGCGCCTGGGAGGGGTGCAGTTTCCACGGACGCGCCCACCTTCTATTGTGATTTGGTAAATTCACCTGGGACGGCCAGAGCGCATGGACTTGGTCAAACACATGAGTCGACACATGTTGCTATAGATGCGTCGTGGGGCCCTGTCTATTGCTTCGCAGGGAGCGTCAGCAACGGCAAAGCAAGGACCCGACACACACCAATCGCATCAAGCGCGGTGGCGGATATCTGATACAGAGCATTCGAAGAGACTTCAGGGCACTCCATTTATTGGTTCGTTGCACGGTGGCAGATGCCCCCCCCGACAAGTGATTGCACCAAGGGTTTTCTAGTCACGTTCTTATGAATTGGCTCCAGGAGGGAGGCGGGGTCGGGCCGTCTCGGAAACAGGTTGCCAGCAGGGCGAGGGCCAGAATCACACGAGCAAGTCCTGCTCTTCATTGGTTTGGGCCTTTGGGGCGGACATCCGCAGGGGGGGCATCTTCGAACATCTGGAGCCGTAGTTGGAGCCAATCAGGCAGTCCTGGACTCTTGTGCCAACTGGCGGCCGTCTCATTATTTTTTGGTTGGCACGCGCTCTTGGTCCACGGGGGTTTCTTGGGATCCCTTGGTGCTCTCTTGGGACCTTCCTGCGGAGTCGTGGGACCCCCTCAGCGCTCTTGTAAGGCCCTCTCTGGATCCTTCGGGGGGCTGGGAAGCACATTGCAGACCGCAAGGGCTAGAAGGCACGTGATGAACAATGTTTGCGCCATCTTTGAGCCTCTTGGCGTCACGCTCGGGCTACCTTACGGACTGGCGCCGACTGATCCCCGCTCTTGGGCAGTAGGGGGGTATGAGAGTGCCCCAAGTGAGCCCTAAGTTAAGGCTCTCTTGGGGGAGCCCTTTTTGGCCACCTTGGGGCACGACAGTCCCCTTGTGTTCGCAGAAGTGATCTTGTTTATGCCAGCAAACAGCCAACGAACCCCTAAGTGTTTGCCAATAGTTGACGCCTTTGAGCACATGCAACTATAGGAAATTGGGCCGTCGTAAATCTCCACTGGGCAATATAGGACCATCTCGGGGGGCCTGCCACCCATGCCACCCATTGGCCTGTAGTCTCGGCGATAGTGTGCTTGATCTTGGCGCGTGCTCGTCCGCTTCTAGGGGGACGTTTCATCCGCAGACCTGCCAGGGCCGCTTTTGTGTGCGCAGCCACAGCCCGCTTTTTCAGCGAATTGTGTACTTTCGCGTGTTTCGAAAAATGGGTTTGCAGACAGACGTTCAAAATGTATAAACATACATACCATACATCTCTATGACCGTTTACGCTTGTGTAAGGCAATACTGTTTGGGGGCATCGTTGAACGCCGTCTCCTTCCGTAGCCTCTTTCCAAGGCTTGCAGGGTTGGGGGCCTCGGGCGAGCCGACACCTCAGTGCATTGGTGCTCGCCCGAGGTCCTCGTTTGCATCTCTTCGGCTCCGACCTGGTCCGCCCCAGGTCGGGGGGACTCCCAGGAGGGCGACGGCGCTGGGTGCGCAAGCGCCCTCTCATGGCCGGAGATCAGGACGAGGAGCTGGACGGGAGCGCGCAGCTGTACACCCCGTCGGGCGACGAGCTGGACGGGGAGGGCGGTGGACTGCCTCCTGCCCCCGCCGAGGAGCTGCGGCTCGTCGAGGGCCAGGCGTATTCGTCGACGGGCTACAATGCCCAGGGCGACATCCAGTGCCGCTTCACTTGGGTCGCCCTTCGCCTCTCGGTCGGAGTCGAGACGTACGCCAGGCCGAGGTTCCTCTTCTCAGACGACCCGTACTGGGACTGGTGGGCGTCGAACCCAGGCGAGCGCGGGGCCGTGACTGCGCGGCCCCTCGTCCACGTGTGCCGGACGCAGCCGTGCCAGGTCCAGCCGCCGCGGGGTTGCTCGGAGCTGGTGCACATCACAGACGCGACCGCCGTCTCGGCCGACGAGCTGCGGGAGGTCTTCGCGGCGTTCCTCTCGGACAACCCAGACGCGGTCTGGCCCGCCGACCTCTTCGGGCCGCGGCTCACTGGAGGGGTGCCTGGGGAGGCGCCTGCCAGGACGCCGGCTCCGTCGGAGCAGCCAGGACTGGACGAGCTCTGGGGCGGCGACGTGGTCGAGGCGGATGGGGGCGGCCGCCGTGCCAGCCTCCGCGGGAAGCTGGAGGCGGCGCAGGACCGCTTCGCTCGGCTTCAGCAGCAGCGGCGGGCCGCTGCGGGGGCTGCGCTGCGGAGGCGGTCGCTGCCCTGGACGACGAGCCGCCGGCGAAGATTCCGCGGCAGGGCGGGCCGCCACCGCAGCGGTCGCTTGCCGAGGTCCTCGAGGACCGCGTGCGGAAGGCGGCGAAGGTCGGAGCAGCTGCATCGGCCGAGGACGCCAAGGGAGCAGAGGCGGCCGCCCCCGCCGTTGGTCAGGGCGGAGCTGGCGTGCAGGAGCTGCTGACGGCCCTCCTCAAGGCGCTGCAGAGCGCGACCAGGTCGTCCGAGGACCCGTCCTTCGGCGGCGATGGTGGTGTCGCCACCGCCGAGGGCGACTTGCTGCCGAAGGGCCTTGCGTCTCGTCGGGCCCACTGCAGGAGGTTGGCCCTGGAGCACCCAGGGAGACTCGCGGAGCTGAGCCTGGCGCAGATGGCAGAGTTCTTGGGGTCGCAGGACGGCGGCGGGTCGGTCGATCCGCATGGCCCGATCGTCCTTCGATTCCTCCTGTCGGTCTACTTGCCGCAGCATCCGGTGAAGGAGATAGGGGGCGAGATCTACCGCGAGTTGCGGACGATCGCGGAGGCGCTGGACCTGTTGCTGCAGGGCCGCACGGCCGCGGTGGCCGACATCCTGGCCCAGCGCTTCAAGGCCATCCAGGTGGCGGTCGGCGACGGGAGCTGGTCGGCGGCGAAGTGGCTCGAGCTGATACCGCCGCGGGACCAGCCTCTCGCGCTACGCAACGAGGAGGAGGAGATGATCAGGAGCATCCAGCACGGGGAGCTCAAGCTGGAGGAGCTCGCCTCGCGGCTGCGGCAGAAGCCTCAGGGCTAGCAGGTCGGCCGGGGCGAGGTGGGTTCGGCGTTGCCCACTCGCCCTGCAGGCCGTGCAGGGGGGATACCCCCTGCCGCAGCGCAGGCCCCGGCGCAGAGGCAGCCAGCGGCCGCGGGCTCCGCGGAGGCCGACCGCACGCTGGCGGACAGGTCGGCAGCCCCAGCCCGTGCGGTCGTGTTGGCGCGGCCCTGGAAGGACGCCAAGGCGAAGTACCCGAAGAAGGCTGGCGAGTCGGTGAAGGCGTACGATGCCCGCCTGCGGAGCCTGGTGCCGACGCTGCGGTAGCGGTCGCCTCGCTGCCCGCAGCAAGCGCTCTTGGGGGGCGCCTGGCCTGCGCGGGCGCCTCTGGGGGCGGCGCAGCGGCCGATGGCCTAGTCGGCGCGGCCGAGGCCCCTCCAAGCCCCCCGAGCGCCAGCGAGTTGCTGCGCGCTGGGCCTGGGGGTGTTGCTGGGCGCTGGTCCTGCGGCGAGGCAGAGGCGGCAGGAGCCCTGGCGCGGGATGAGGCGACGCCGCGGGGGGGGCAGCTCTCTGTTGCCGAGCTTTGGTCGGATTTCTCAGCGGGCGAGGACTCGTTCACCGCTTCGGACTTCCATGACTGGCAGCGCGTGGTCACGGTCGGCTTTGGGTCGAGCCTCACTGCCGTGGACTTGTCGGTCACCCTGCTGGGCCTTACCATCACGGACCCTGGGGGTCTGGGCGCCTTCGCCAGGGAGTTCACGATGCGTACGTCCACAAGGCGGGGGAGCGGGGTGCGGGGACGTGACGTCCTCCCGCTGCCCCTGCCCTCTCTCTCCCTGGCGAGGCGATGGATTCGCAGCCGATGCGGCCCTCGCAGCAGCAGGTGCCGTCTCGCAGGAGTGGCCAGGTCCGTCATGATGGAGTGCTGGCTTTACATGGAGGTGCTTGGCCTGAACCGCATGTACTGCGGGCGGGCGACCGCCACTTGGCAGCACGAGGGGTCCCTCACGCTGGCGCAGCGGCAGGCCATGGCGCACCTCCTGTCGCGGGCTGAGGTCTTTGCGGAGGACCCCTTCGCGAGCGTGGAGGTGCCCGCGCTGTCGTCCGCCCTCCAGCACGCTGCCATCGACTACAGCGGGGAGCCCGCGGTCAAGGCACTCCCGTGCGTGCTCGCGGAGCTGAAGCCGGGCTTGCCGCAGCCCGAGCACGCAGGCGCCTTGGACGCGTGCGAGTTCGTGGATGCGGACATTGGCGCCTGGCTGAACGACCCCTCGGTGGCGCTGAAGCCCGAGGCCGAGTGGCCCAACCCGCTCCCGAGGGCGCGGGTCAACGTCACCTCTGACAGCGACTGGGAGGCCCTCGCGGTGCACTTGGTGGAGCTGGGCATCTTTACGGTGCTTGAGCCGCATGAGGTGTTTCAGGTGCGGGGCGCTCCGCTCCTCAACGGCCTCTTCGCAGTCGAGAAGAAGGGAGCGCCTGGGCCAGGGGCCGAGCGGGTCACCAGGCTCATCCTGAACATGGTCCCAGGCAACTCGCTCCTCAAGCCGTTCGTCGGTGAGGCGTCTACACTCGCGGCGTCGACGGGCTGGGCGACCCTTCACCTGCCCGAGGGCTCCCTGCTGCTGTGGTCTGGCGATGACCAGAAGGGGGCCTTCTTTGTGTGGCGGATCCCGCGCTGCTGGCATGCTCACATGGCGGTGGGCAAGGCGCTGCGCGGCGACCTGTTTGGGCGCGCGGCGCCGCGGGTCTTCGTCGCCTCAGCGGTCATCTCGATGGGTTGGATGCTCGCCGTGCCGCTGTTCCAGCACATACATCGGCGATTGTGTCGGCTTCCTCCCCCGCTTGGAGCGGGCCTACCGCCAGAGGCAGAATGGCGGAAGGACACGGTGCGGCCGCTCGCTTTTGCTAAGCAGGGTCCCGTCCTTGCATCTTGGTGGCAGGTATACATCGACGACTTCGACGCCCCCGAGATCATCGAGGAGGCCGCGGCGCTAGAGCTGCTTGGTAGCCAGGCAGAGTTGCAGGCCGCGGCCCGTGCCAGCTACGAGCGTGCGCAGGTGGCGATCTCCTCCGACAAGGCGCACCTCCGCCAGCTTCGCGTTGAGAGGATGGGGGCTTCCGTTGACGGCGTCACAGGGCGGATCGGCGCCCCCCTCAGCAAGGCGTTGTCCGCCTGCGCTCTCGCCATCGCGACGCTCGGCCTGGACTTGGTCCCGTGGAGGCTGGCCATGACTGTGCTCGGCCGCATTGTCAGGGTCTTCGAGTTTCGGCGGCCCTTGCTCAGCATCTTGAATGCAGTGTGGAGGCTTTCGGAGCCGCGGGCGAAGGTCTACCTGACGCGGGAAATGAGGGAGGAGCTGATGACGGCGCTCCTCGTGGTCCCGCTCGCCGCTACTTCGTTGAGGAGCCGCCTCGAAGGGATGGCGTCGTGTTCAGACGCGTCCGAGTTCGGGGGGGGAGTCTGCGTGTCGACGGGCCTCCACGAGCAGGCGGAGGCGACTATCCTCGCCGCCGGCGAGCCTGGCGCTCAGCTGGGCGCTGGGGCGAGGGTCCTCGGCCTGCCCGTCGATCCGCGGGCGCCCTGGACTCGCAGCAATCCGCGGATCCCGCGGGCCATCGTCGCCCGAATCCTCAGAGTCCTCTGCATCGGGCTGTTCGACGGCATCGGCGGGTTGGCGGTCGCGCTCTCGCGCCTGCCCGTGCGCATCGTCGGGTACGTGAGCGCCGAGACAGACGCCAAGGCCAGGAGGGTCGTACGGCTCAGGTGGCCAGGCGCCATCGACTGGGGCGACGTCAGGACCGTGACCGCCCAGACGGTGGAGGACTTGAGGATCGCCTACCAGTCCGAGGTCGACCTTGTGGTCGCGGGCGCAGGCAGCCCGTGCCAGGGGCTCACGGGGCTAAACGCTGCTGGGCGAGGCCTGGCCGACCCGAAGTCTTCGGTCTTCTTCGAGGTGCCGCGCATCTTCGGGCTGCTGTCAGACGCTTTCGGGGCGAGTTTCAGGTGGTTCGCGGAGAACGTCGCGGGCATGACGTCCAGCAGCCTGCGTGGCATGAACCAGGCCCTCGGCGTCAAGCCCGTGTTTCTGTGCACCTCGGCCCTGGTGCCCTGCAGGAGGCCGCGGCTGTATTGGCTGAGCTGGAGCGTCCGCCCGACCCCGCCGCTGGTCCTCCAGGAGCGCGAGGATATGTTCGTGGTCAGCTGCAATGAGCCGCCCCTGTTGAATTTCGATTGGCGGGATCCTGGCGCGCGCTGGCTGGGCGAGCCTGGGCCTTACCCCACCCTCGTGTGCAGCAGGCCTCAGCGGGGCTACCCTTCAGCGCCGCGCGGGGTGAAGAGTGCTTCGCCCGAGGCGCTCGCTCGCTGGCAGTCGGATTCGTATCGCTACCATGTTGCGCTCTACGAAGAGAAAAACCTCTTGCAGGACAGCGACGGATCCTTGCGAGTCCCTTCGAGCTCCGAGCGGGAGAGGATGATGGGATTCGACGTGCGTTACACGGCTGTAGCCACGAAGGGCTCGAACCAGCAGGATAGCGACGACGCCAGGTCCTTCCTACTGGGCAACAGCTTCAATGTGTTCTCGGTCGCTTGGCTGCTGCAGTGGCTCTTGCTGAACCTGGGGGCCGTGACGCGCCCACTGTCCATGCAGGAGCTTGGGCACGTCGGCGAATGCACGCCGTCGTGGGACGAAGCGGGCCGCTTCGAGAGCGACGCGGGGGAGCCAGAGACCGAAGCCAGCCGTCTCTTGCTCCTCAGCTACCTGGCCAGGTCCGAGAAGGGCGGGAGCGATGTGCGTCTCGACGTGAACCTGCCGTACCGACCGAAGGGGTGGCCCAGATCGTCGCTCGACCCGTTCGTGTGGAAGTGGCGAGTCGTGCTGAGTATAGCTTGGCCCAAGCGGCAGCAGGCGCACATCAACGTCAGGGAGCTGCAGGCCGCGCTCGCGGCGCTTCGGTGGCGGGCTCGTGCCGCTCGCCGCCACTGCAGCCGCTGGCTCCACCTCGTGGACAGCCAGGTCGTCGCGGCCATCATCACGAAAGGCCGGAGCAGCAGCGCTCGCTTGCAGCCGATGCTCCGGCGCTGGGCAGCGGTCGCGGTCGCGGCCGACATGTACCCGCTGATCGGGTACATCGTGTCAGAGAACAATCCGGCCGACGAGCCATCGAGAAAGCTGTGGCGTGGCTCGCGGCTCAGGGGGCGCGGCAGTCGCGCGCCCTTGGTGCGCAAGGCCGCCCGTGCAGGCCGCCTGTGAGGCGGCGTGACCCGCGCGCCCACACCCTCTCGTCGCTCCGCGTCGGGGTGGCGACCCGCAGGCGGTACGCCGTTGCGGTCCGCAGGCTCTTGCACTACTACGGCGCTGAGGAGAGTGGCGCGCCCGCGCTCGCACTGGCCGTGGACGATGCAGACGGCTTGGTCGCGGGCTTCCTCGAGAAGCTCTGGGCCGAGGGCGCTGGCATTGCGGCTGCGAGCAACACCATCGCAGGCGTGGCCTTCCTCTGCCCGTCTTTGCGCAGGAAGCTCGACTTGTCCTGGTCACTGCTGCGGACGTGGCGCCGCCAAGAGCCAGCGGCGCGCGTGCCCCCGCTGACCGCGGAGCTGGTCGGCGGCATGGCGGGCTACGCCATCGCAGCAGGCGCCTTCGACTTCGCCTGCCTTCTTCTCGTCAGCTTTGAAGCGATGCTGCGAGGAGGGGGAGCTTTCAGCCTCACTGCAGGCGATGTTCATGATCGTGGATCGTGCATGGTCATCCGCATTGGCAGCAGTAAGACCACGGCGGGCAAGGATGCAGCTGAGGCCGTGGTGGTGCGGTCTAAGGCCTGCGTGCGGCTGCTGCGGCTGGTCGTGGCCAATCTCGGGCCTTCAGACAGGCTTTCGCCCAGATCGCCGAACCAGCTGAAGGCAGGATTGCAGCGCTTGGCCGAGGCGCTCGGCTTTCGAGGCCTTTTCAGCTGGCACAGTTGCCGACGAGGCGGAGCAAGTGACTTTTTCTGCCGCTCCAGCTCGATGGAGCAGACACTCGTCAAAGGCCGCTGGGCCAGCACTTTGACTGCGAGAATTTATATTGAAGATGCAGTTGCTGACCTAGTGAAGGTCAGGCCGCAAGATGAACAGTGTTCAAATGTTCAATGCGGGCTCGAGATTCTCCGTGAATTTGTCAGTTTGTGAGCGTTGAATGTGCATCTTCTATTCCCTATCCAGCCGTCCCTCTCTGTGCCCATTGCATGGTTGTGTGTACATATCTCTCAGCTTCGCTGACTTTCCATGCCTAAGTCTAGGCGGTGACTGGAAGTTAGCCTCACGATTGTAGAGTTTTTAGAATAGTTTCTCGTAGACGGCGTGGGCGCCAAGGTTGGAGATGTGGGGAGTTAGCTGGTGACCTTCAGGGTGTGCCTTTCTGGTGCCGCACGTTCCAGCGCGTGGCCGAGGGTGTCTGTGTGGGACCTGTGGTCGGCCTCCCACGGGATGGGTGCCTCGGGACCTCGGGAGGTCCCTTGGCTGCCCGTCCTGTTCGGAGGTGCACCGTGTCTCGGTGCTGGCCTGTCCCTCCGTGATTCGGGCCCGCGTTTGTGGGTCCCGAGCGGCCCCGCGGGCTGTGGGCGCAGTGGAACCTTCGGCCAGTGTGCTGGGGGGCGGTGTGCAAGGTCCTGAAAGTATAGGTCACGTGTCGGGCTAACTTGACCACTGGCGTGGACGTACGCCTCCGTAAAACAGTATGACCGTTTACGCTTGTGTAAGGCAATACTGTTTGGGGGCATCGTTGAACGCCGTCTCCTTCCGTAGCCTCTTTCCAAGGCTCCCACCCGCTACCTCCCTGTCGTCCAGGGCCGCGTCGCGGCCCCTGCACGAGGAGACAGTTCTGTATAGATGCCCCCAGCTACTCCAGATTGGTGCCCTAGCCCAGGGGAGTTAGCTGGTGACCTTCAGGGTGTGCCTTTCTGGTGCCGCACGTTCCAGCGCGTGGCCGAGGGTGTCTGTGTGGGACCTGTGGTCGGCCTCCCACGGGATGGGTGCCTCGGGACCTCGGGGGGTCCCTTGGCTGCCCGTCCTGTTCGGAGGTGCACCGTGTCTCGGTGCTGGCCTGTCCCTCCGTGATTCGGGCCCGCGTTTGTGGGTCCCGAGCGGCCCCGCGGGCTGTGGGCGCAGTGGAACCTTCGGCCAGTGTGCTGGGGGGCGGTGTGCAAGGTCCTGAAAGTGTAGGTCACGTGTCGGGCTAACTTGACCACTGGCGTGGACGTACGCCTCCGTGAAACAGTATATATATATATATATGTGTGTATGCGCACACTGGTGCCAGCGCGTGGACCCCAACCAGTTCTGTAACATCATTCCCAGATGTTCAGACAGATCTGGATCCGCCCAGGTCCAAACCGTTGACCTTGTTGATTCCCGGGTGGCGGGCCCACTCTCTGGAGTTCCACCTTCGATTTTCCGGCATCGGGAATTTGACATCTTTCCCGGGCTTGCCCCGCACGCGTTCAGAGGTTCCAGGAGGCAGCGCGAGAACTCAAAGTGCTTGCCAGGGCAACCCAAGAGAGCTCCTAGACGACTCCCAAAAACCCAAGGCGGCGCAAGAAGCTTCACGATGGTCCCAAGCTGGCCCCCAGAGGCCAAACGAGTGCTCCCAGGGGACCCTTCGACCGCCAAAAATCCAATTGTTTTCTCCAAATAGGCTTGCCAATTGGATTCTCAGCTACATCCTTAGATGAATGGTTCACAGATCCCCCCCTCCAACCCCATGCCCCGGATAATAAATCATTCCCCCCTTCATTATTGAGAGTTGATTACCCCTGGCCAAGGCAGAGTTGGTCGGGGGAGAGGGGTGGCAAGGCCGAAGTGTATAATCGCAGGGCAAATGTACGAATCGAAACTGCGATCTTCTTATGTCGAATAGCAACAAAGTCATCGCACCTGTGTCAGGGCTATGTAATATAAATTTAGGACGATTGCTACTAGTACGATTACGGCGACTAGAAGTAGTAGTAGTAGTACTACTACTACTGCTACTACTACTACTACGACTACTACTACTACTACTACTACTACCACTGCGCCGACTACTTCTACTACTGCTACTATTGGTACTACTACGGCGACGACTACTACTATTACTACTACTACTACTACTACTACTACTACTACTACTACTACTACTACTACTACTACTACTACTACTACTACCACAAATAATGCCACCACGAATGCTACTGTTCGAGCTACGACTACTACTACTACCACTACTACTACTACTACTACTACTACTACGACTGCTACTACTACTGCGATTACGATTGCCACTCATACGACTACCACTACTACTATTACTACTACTACAAGTGCGACGACTACTACTATTACTACTATTGCTACTACTATTCTTTTATAATAGTAGTAGTATTCCACCTACTCTCACAACTACGAAGTCTACTACTACTACTACTACTTCTTCTTCTATTGCCACTTCTACTACACAACTACTACAACTACTTCTTCTATTACCTTTTGTACCGGTACTCGCATTACCATGCCGATTCCTAATTGCTTTGCGACTCCTACTCCTACTCCTACTACTACTACGACTACTACTACTACTACTACTACTACTACTACTACTACTACGACTACTACGACTACGAGTACGACTCCGGTTACGGCTACGGTTACGACGACTACCATCACCATTCTTAGCAGCATTGCTATTACCACTTGATATTTTTTTACACTCACCACTAACACATCTGCTACAACGAGCGCTGCTATTACTAACAGTACTATTACTTTTACTACTACTACTACTGCTACTACTACTACTATTTCTACTACTACGATTATCACTACTCATCTTATTACGACTACTACTACTACTACGACTACTACTACTACTACCAATACTGCGACTACTGCGACTCCGACTCCGACTTGTCCTGTTATTAAGTCTGCTACTACTACTACTACGACTACGATTCCTTTTACTGCTTCTACTGCAGGTAATAGTAGTAGTAGTAGTAGTAGTAGTAGTAGTAGTAGTAGTAGTAGTAGTAGTAGTAGTTGTAGTAGTACTACAACTACGACTACTACTACCACAACTACTATCACTACTACCCTTGCTACTATCACTACTACTACTGCTTCCACCATTATTACTACTACTACCACTACTACGACTTCTACGACTACTACTACTACTACTACTATTACGGCTATTACTACTACCTTTACTACCTTTACTACTACTACTACTGCTACTACTACTACTACTACTACTACTACTACTACTACTACTACTACTACTACTACTAGCAGTAGTAGTAGTAGTACTACTACTACTACTGCTGCTACGACTAGTACTACTACTACTACTACTGCTACGACTACCACTACTGCTACTACTTCTACTACTACTACGACTACGACGACTACTACTATTACTACGACTACTACTACCTTTACTACTACCTTTACTACTACCTTTACTACTACCTTTACTACTACCTTTACTACTACTACTACTACTACTACTACTACTACTACTACTACTACTACTACTACTACTACTACTACTACTACTACTATTCGTAGCAGTAGTAGTAGTACTACTACTGCTGCTACGACTACTACTACGACTACCCGTACTTCTGCCACTACCACTATTTCCATTATTTTTTCATTACTGCTACTACTGCTACTGATCTTTGTTTTTTCTCGCTTAGCCCCCCCCGAACTTTTTTTATCGGGGGCGTTTGGTTATCACTGGAAGCGGGCCACCATGAGTTCCCACACGTGTGAGGCTGATGTTTCGTTGTTTATGCAGCAACCATTTATTGCAAAATGAAAACAGTCCTTTTACATTAAAAATGATAATGACCCGGATCCGAGTAGTTTCGAAATTTGATTTTTGGGTTTCTTTTTTCTCCCGCCTTCCTCTCATCCTCCCCATCCCATGGCATTTCCTTTCCCATCCCCTCCTTGTGATCCCATCCGAAGTCACGAACGTGTAGCCAGGCTAGGTCGCTGTTCGCGCCGTCGTCGTCGTGATCGTCGCCGTCTTCGTGCAACGACGACCACAACTTCTTCTTCCCTCGGCATACATCCCACGTGCGATTTGCCGGGGCAAATCGTTCATCATTCCCCCGCGGCTTTGATTTTTTCTTTTTTTTGGCATTTGCTCTCGTCACAATATCCGCATGGCTTCTTCGGCTAGGGTTGAGCAGAATCGAAGAGAGCATGTTGGAGCAAGGTAGAGCATGCGTAGCTTAGAGGAGAGCGGAACAAGAGTAGGGTAGACTAGAGCAGGAGCAGAACACATAAAGCAGGTTAGGATTATCCACATGGCGTCCTCTGCCATCCGCATGGTTTCGTCCAATTTGTCCGCATGGCCTCCTTTGCAATCCACGTTGCTTCGTCTGTTAGAGTAGAGCAGAGGCGGTTATGATAGAGCGGAGTATGCTGATAGTAGCGCAGGAGTAGAGTGGATCATAGCAGGGGAAGAGGCTATCCGCATGGGTTCGTCAGCTAGGGAATATAATGATCGAGGATAATACTTCCGCAGGCCGGAAGATTTTCCTCTTGAGCCCCACATGTCGGAAGCGACGCGCCGTTCATGTGAGCGGAACATGTAGCGTTCCTTCCGAGGTGGGGTAGATATGCTATGATTGGAAGTGCGGGAGTTGGCCGGGCCCACTGCGGCGTTCGAACAAATGGGAGGATTTTCGGGAGATGGCCAGGCCCGCGGTGGCGCTCGAGCAACCACATGTTATGGGAGAAGTGAAGGGAGATGGCCGGGCCCGCTGTGGCGCTCGAGCTTCCGAGTTGGACACTTTGCTTGTGTGTCCTCGTCCTCCCTCATCCCTTCCTCTCCTCCTCCCGCTTCCCCCCTCCTCCTCCCGCCTCTTCCCTCCTCCTCATCCCTCCTTCGTCCGTTCGCCTCCCTTCTCTGTCCTCCCTCCTCCCTCATCCTCCTTCTCCTCCTCCTCTTCCTTCCTCCCCCCCCTCTTCCCTGATTATTTATCCTCTCTCCCCCCTTGCGTCCCCTTTGTTCTCCTCCCACCTCCTCGTGCCTCTTCCCTCAACCTTCCCCTCTTCATCTTGGGAAGACCCCCCTTCCCCCATAGAATCATAGCATGGGTGTGCATATCCACAGCACCGTGGACAGCATGATGCTTCACTTGCGGTGCCCTGCGGATCCCATTTCCCCTGGGTCATGGATGGTAATTACTATATATATACATTCCCGGGAAATGAATGGATCCATTGCTTTTCCACACAAGAAGACATTGGATCCGCGCAGCACAGAAATAGGATCCACGAAACACTCCCACACCAGAAAAAAAAATATCCAATTGGATCCATGGATGCTCCCATATTTTAGTCCAAGAGGAAAAAGCTTTCGGCCTGGGGGTGCAGGATTTAGCACCCCTTACGTAGGGGGAGACGCAGTTCGAAATCCCACATCCCTGGCCGAAAAAAATTCTTCTTGAGCCCCACATGTCGGAAGCGACGCGCCGTTCATGCGAGTGGAACATGTAGCGTTTTTTCGAGGTGGGGTAGATATGCTATGGTTGGAAGTGCGGGAGCTGGCAGGGCCCAGTGTGGCGTTCGAGCGAATGGGAGGACTTTCGGGAGATGGCCAGACCCGCGGTGGCGCTCGAGCAACCACATGTTATGGGAGAAGTGAAGGGAGATGGCCGGGCCCGCTGTGGCGCTCGAGCTTCCGAGTTGGACATTTTGCTTGTGTGTCCTCGTCCTCCCTCATCCCTTCCTCTCCTCCTCCTCCCGCCTCCCCCCTCCTCCTCCCGCCTCCTCTTTCCTCCTCATTCCTCCTTCGTCCGTCCGCCTCCCTCCTCTCTCTTCCCTCTTCCCTCATCCTCCTTCTCCTCCTCCTCTTCCTTCCCTCCTTCTTCCCTGATTATTTATCCTCTCTCCCCCCTTGCGTCCCCTCTGTTCTCCTCCCACCTCCTCGTGCCTCTTCCCTCAACCTTCCCCTCTTCATCTTGGGAAAACCTTTTTCCCCCGTAGAATCATAGCATGGGTCTGCATACCCACAACACCGTGGATAGCATGATGCTTCACTTGCGGTGCCCCGCGGATCAAATTTCCCCTGGGTCCCGGATGTTAACCTATATATACATATCCCGGGAAATACATGAATCCATCGTTTTTTTTCACAAAGGAAATTAGATCCGCGCAGCGCAGAAATAGGATCCACGAAACACCCCCACACCGGAACAAATGATCCAATTGGATCCATGGATGCTCCCACATTGTAGTCCAAGAGGAAAAACGTTCGGCCTGGGGATGTGGTTCGGGGCGGAGTAGATTAGAATTTGAGCCGTGTAGGAGTGGAACAGGCAAGACTAGAACGGGTTAGGGTTCGGCAGCGTTTTCTCATGGCTATTCATGCGATCCGCACGGCTTCGACCAAACCATCCGCAGGGCTTCTTCTGTTTTCCACATGTCAGCGGCTGCAACGGTAGAGCAGAGGGTAGGCAACTGTAGCGGGGTAGAGTTGGAGCTGACGAGGTTGAGGGGTACAGTAAAGTAGAGTAGGACTAGGGCAGCATCGGGTAAAGTATGGTGATGTAGAGTAGAGCCGAACAAAGTAGGGTAGCGTAGGACAGACGTCAGAGTAGAGTGGGGCAGGCCAGGGCAGAGTGGAACATGACGGAGTATACTAGGGCTGGGTAGATTGGCGCATGCAGGATTCGAGTGGAGTCGACGAGTTCAGAATACAGTAGCGCAGCAACCAATATAGCACAATAGGATAGCGTAGAGTAGAGTCGGTTAGCGTAGAGACAATGTGAGTAGCGCTACGTATAATAGAGCAGAGTAGAGGGTAGGGTCTCCTGATTTGGAATCAGCGCTGGCTGGTTTGGTGGCGCATTCGCTGTGTCCCCCCGACGCCCAAAGACTTCCCAGAAATCCTCCAAGTTGGCCCCAATGGAGCCCCATGATGTCGCATGATGATCCAGGAAGGGCTCTAAAAGGGCCCACTGGTGGATCACCCCACAAATTCCCGAGAAGGCTTCAGGTCCGTCCAGGATGGTTCAACAACATTAAAATCTATTCCAAAGACGCTGCACGACAGCTTCAGGGGAGCCCAAGAGTGAACACGATGGCCCCGCGAAGCTGCAAAAGAACCGTGAGGACCCCAAACGACGGCCTACAGGGACGAGGCGCAAAGCAACCCCACGGAAGACGTGGACGAGAAGGAGGATGGGCAGGAGAGCCGGACCAGGATAAGCAGGAGAGTTTGGGGGAGCAGGGGGAGCCGCAGACACCTCCTCCAGGAAGGCTCTTGTGCCTGACCTGGAAGCGACTTCGGGTCATGTTTATGTTTGGGGCCCCGAGGGTGCATCCCGGGGCCGCGTCAGGCCATGTTTGATATCTGTCGTAAATTGGCACCCATGGGGTGCAGCGTGTAGCCATCTACGGGTGGCACGTGACACCCGGTTGGTAAATGCTCGCCTCATTGGGAGCACGTGCCAACGGATGGATGGGTGTATGAGAGCACGCGCAGGGGAAATAACGGGTGTAGGCAAATGCCTTGTGGATGGATTCGCGGCTGGGCGGGTAAATGTGTGGGATACGTTGTTTTGGGTCGGTGCATGGACCGATGATACAATGCTTAGATGGGTGGACGGGCTGGTTTTTGGGTTGTTGTATGGACGCATTGGTGTATACATGGATGCGGGCGTGTGTTTACGCAAGTGCTGAGAAGCACTACGCGTCAAGAACACAACGCCTCGAGCACTACGCGTCAACGTGCACGTTTACCATTTACGTTTGTAGATTTTTATAAAGGGACGTGCGTTTGTTAGCCAGTGTGGACCGCTTATGCAGTGCAGCACACGTTGCGCAACTGATGTGATTCTAGTTGTGCTAAGTAATAGTTGCAGTGGTATCCAAGTGCTGCAATGCAGATTGTGCAACATTCGATTTGAAATACATGTGGTGCATTCTCCGTTGTGCAACAGCTGTGTCTAACAAATCGTACAGTCGATGATATGCTAACTGCGTTGGGCAGTCCAGGTGGTGCAATCTAGGTGGTGCTATCTATGTGGTGCAGTCTCCGCGGTGCAATCAATGTGGTGTACTTGATTTTTACACACCAGTTGTCAAGCCCCACGTCTCTGCAAACAGCCCACCCACCCACCCGCCACCTGGTCTGCAACCCCTGTGCGGCAGCGATTGCGAGGAATGCTTGGCGTTGGCTGGTGCATCCCTGCGGCCGCGCTAACCCGCGCATGCTCGCGCGCGCAGAGGCCAGCTACCGACGCGGCCGCATTGGCGCTGACTGGCGGGCGCGCCCGAGCGGGCACTTCAGTGCGAGTCGGCGACTTGGGCGGGCGCAGTATCATAGCGGCGCCGACGACGGTAATCACGACGATGAAAGTAGCCAAGGTGGCGACCATGGCGGCGATGACGACGGCAAGGTCAATGACGGCGCCGACGTTGACCACGCCCGCCGATCACAATGACGGTGTCTTTCTTCGCGTTGGCTCTGATGGTTTTGGGAGGGGGTCGACGTGCGCGCGGGGCCGTCGCACGCGAATGGCCCGCGCGATATCTTTTGGAACGGATCGCGCCGCCCCCCCCCCCCCCCCCCCCCCCAAAGCACGCGCGCAAGTGTGTTCGAATGATTTGTTGTTTGCAAGCGGCGCGAAGGGCTCGTTTTTTTTTTTTGACAGACTTTCATGGGGATGTTGGAGGACCTATGGTTTCCCAAATGATCCGCGCGACCGCGAGCGCTGGATTTTGTTCAAGACTGACGATGCAAGACCATGTGTTTTGACACGTGTTCGGGGCGCTCGTTTTTTGAACTCCGGCGCGCGCGCGCCACGACGCGCGCGCACTTCGCCCCATTTGTTGCAAGGGATTACTGCGAGAGCTCGCGGGCACTCGCCTTTCCACAATTTCGACGCGCGCGCGAGAGGCCCTTGGGCCGCGTTCGCATGAACGCGTCGACCGACCCATGGTTTCTCAGGATCTCGCAGGAGCGAGGGCGACATGTTGGCTTGCATGCGTTTGAAAACCCTCGTTGCGAAGCGATGTGTTCTTCGTGCGCTTTCGCGACTCTCAACTTTGAAATCCTCGCGAAACCCGCGGCTCATGGGCAGTTGTCGGCGTGCGCGCGCGACGTCGCTCGCGTGACTTTCGCTGAATTTTACGAGGTGTTCTTGAACGCTGAAGATTCGCGATTAATGAGCGCGAGCAGTCTGCGGAGGATGAGGGGGGCGAGTTCCGGCCAAGTTGCCGGGCGATGTGAGTTCATATTTAGGATGGGCGACGAGGCAGACTAGCGCGCAACGCGCAATGCGAAGGGCGCCCGTCGAGACCGGGGGGGGCAGGGGGGGGGGGCGCAATTTTTCAAAGCAGGAGACTTCGCCGGCGCTCGCAGTTAGTTGTCAATTCCACGGCTCGCGCAATCGCCCCGCCCGCCCGCCCGCGACGTGGTTTGTAAAGCCCGCGCAGCGGCCATTGCGACGAGTGCATGGCGTTGGCCGGCGCGTCTCCGCTGCCGCGCTGGCCCGCGCGCGCCCGCGCGCGCTCGCGCGCGCAGCGGCCAGCTAGCGCGGCGCGAACGACGCGGCCGCGGTGGCGCTCGTCGGCGTGCATTATTCAGCGGGCACTACTGCGCGAGTCGCTGTCGCGGGCGGGCGCGGCGTCTTGGCGACGCCGACGACGATTGGCGCGACGTTGACAGCAGCGGTGTCGGTGGCGATGGCGTGGCCACTGGCGTCGCCGACGTTGATCGCGCCCGCCGAGAACGATGGCGATGTTGTCGCGTCGGCGACGGTGGTTTTGGGAAGGGTTCGGCACGCGCGCGCGGCCGGCGCGCGCGAGCGGCCTACGTCGCATTTTGTCGACGCGGATCGCGCCTTCCGCCCCCCAGCGCGCGCGCGGGGCCGTTCGGATTGGTTCGACCTGCGGCTCGAGAGATTGGTTTGGCCGGATTTTCGCACGCGCGGCGACGCGCGCGCGCTCGCCCAAGTAGTTGCAAGGGGTTATTGCGACAGCGCGCGCTCGAGGGCGTTCGAGCGATTTCGACCCGCGCGGGAGAGGCCTGTTTGGTAGCACGTTGTGATTTGTTCGGAAATGAGATTCTGCGAGAGTTCAAAACATTTAACTGTCCCCAAATTTTAGGAACTCGTTCCGAAACCATGCGGCTGTTTATATGGTTGCGGGCCGCTCGATTTTGATGCCCGCGCCGAATCCGACGTCCCCGCAAGATTTGGGCACGCGCGCGCGACGACGCGCGCGCGTACTTCGTCCCATTTGATGCAAGGGATGGTTGAACACTGGTTTCTTGTGATAAATATAGCGCGAGCATTGTTTGCTCCTCAGGGGGTGAGCGGGGGCGCCGTTGCCGGCCTGTCTGGGCTGGCTGGACTTCATCCAGCATGGCCGATGGGGCAGGATCATGCGTAAATTGCAATCTGGGATGGGGGGCTGTTCGATCCAAGGGGGGGGGGCGGGGGGGTCCTGCTATTCTTTTCGAACGCAGAATTGATGGTTAAATCTATGTTTTTGCGCAGTTACGGTTTGCAGTCTACGCGGTGTAATACATGTGGCGTAACGCGCCGTTGCTCAATTTGAAGTTGCCCGCTTCACTGCTCGTGCGACCGCCCCACGTGCGCGCCCGCAACTTGGCTTACATACCCCATGCGGAGGCGATCGCGATGAGTGCACGGCGCTGGCCGGCGCATCTCCGCGGCCGCGACATGCGCGCGCGCAGCGGCTTGCTGCTTCAGCGCGACCGACGCAGCCGCGGTGGCCCTGACCGCTGGGCGCACCGCAGCGGGCACTTCAGCGCGAGTCGGCGACTCGGGCGGTCGTTGTATCATGGCAACGTCAGAACCGTAGATGCGTCTACGATAGCGACGCTGGCGAAGATTCTGACAGTGACGACGGCGCGGCCAGGAACGGCGCAGATGCTGACCGCGCCGGCGACGACGGCGCCCTCGCGTCGGTGATAAGGTTTTGGATAGAGTTCGACGCGCGCACGCGGCCGACGCGCGAGAGTGGCCCGCGTGCCAATATTCGACGCAGATCGTGCCCCCACCCCCCGCACGCGCGCGCGCGAATGATTTCGGCATGCGGCGCCAGAGGCCCGCTGGCACGCATTATTTTCTCAAGATGTCGCAAGATCGCGAGCGCATTTTTTGGGAATAATGTTGCGGAGCCATGTGTTTGTCCTTTAAAAAAAAACCATTCGGTTTTGACACCGGTGCGAAAAGGAAGGTTTCTGACGGATTCCGGCACGCGCCCGCGACGACGTTCGAGCGCGCTCTTCGTTTCATGCGTTGCAAAAGGATTCTCGCGACGGCACGCGCGCATGGGCGTTTGAACGATTTCCGAAAGCACTGAAAACAAACCAAGGTTTCTGCAGAACTCGCAAGAGCGCGCGCGCCATCTTTTTGTTGCAGACCCGCATTGCGAAACATGTGTTTTTTTCTTCCCTACCTAGGCTCTGCATAGAAGGGTTCTTACTCTCTTAGCTTAAAGGGGCCGGGCAGTGTAAAGCGCTCCGGGCGGCCCCCCCAGTCCCCGCCCCGCGGTTCCCCCCAGTCCCTTGGGAGTTTTAGCTTTAGCTTTAGCTTTAGCTTAGCGTTTCGCTTAGCTTTTCGCTTAGCTTTTCGCTTAGCTTTAGCTTAGCTTAAGCTTAGCTTTAGCTTAGCTTGAGCTTAGCTGTAGCTTAGCTTTAGCTTTAGCTTAGCTTTAGTTTAGCTTCAGCTTAGCTTTAGCTTAGCTGTAGCTTAGCTGTAGCTTAGCTGTAGCTTAGCTTTAGCTTAGCTGCTGCTCAGCTTTAGCTTAGCTTTAACATAGCTTTAGCCTAGCTTTAGCTTAGCTTTAGCTTAGCTGCGGCTTAGCTTTAGCTTAGCTTTAGCTTAGTTGTAGCTTAGCTTTAGCTTAGCTTTAGCTTAGCGTTACTGTTACTACTAATGCTGTTTTCCCAGGGGTGCCAACTCTTAGGTAGGGTCGCACTGGGGTATTTGTTCTTTCTTCCTTTGGACGCTCGATTTTGACATCGCTACGGACCCTTCGGTTTTGAAGTATTTTTGCGCGCTCGCGACGACGCGCGCGTGCACTTTGCGTTTCTTTTTGCGGGGGAGTTCTGAAAACATTAGATTTTCGATAAAGGAGGGCGCGAGCATAGTGTTCTCGGCAGAGGATGGCGGGGGCGCGGGGATGCCAGCCCCCCTGAGGCGGTGCAAATTCATATCTAGGATGGGAATGGGGCAGAGCGACATGTAAATTGAAATGCGAAGGGGGGAGGTGCTGATCCAGGGGGGGTCTCTATTGTGTAGAGATGAGAATTGATTTTTGCCCATGACTCGGCAACTTCCGTGCCCTTGTAGGCGCCCCGCCCGACCGCCCGCCACGTGGTCTTCAAAACCCACGCGGCGGCCATTGCGATGAGTGCTGAACGTTGGCTGGCGCATCTGCGGCCGCGCTGGCCCGCGCGCGCTCTCGCGCCCAGTGGGCCAGCTTGCCTGGCGCGACCGACGCAGCCGCGATGGCGTCGACCGCCGGGCAATTCCCAGCGGGGACATCAGCGCGAGTCAGCGACGCGGGCGGGCGCGGTATGATGGCGACGCCGATGATGGTAGATATATTAATGAGTGCAGCGACCATGGTGACGATAGCGGTGATGACGACGGCAAGCCCAATGACGACGCCGATGTTGATCGCGCCCGCTGGTAACGATGACGATGCATTCGCGCTGGTGGTGGGGGTCTTGGAAAGAGTTCGACGCCTCGCAAGCGGCCGTCTCGCGTGCGTGGCCCAAGCGGCGCCGCGCGTTTCGGGCCGCCCCCCCCGCGCCCCATTCCGCCCAGCGCGCGCTCAGGGGCATCCGGGTGAGTTCGACATGCGGCGCGAGAGGCTCGCTCGGCGGATTTCTTGCGCGCGCGGCCGCGCGCGCAAGCACTCGCCCCGGTTGTTGCAATGGATTATCGCGACAGCGCGCTCGCGAGGGCGCTCGAGCGATTTCGATGCGCGCGCGAGAGGGCCGTTTGGTCGCACTGCGCGATGGCGTTTTTTTTCGGGCGCCGAAGAAATCTGCGCCGCGAAACCGCGCCATTTTTTTTCCGGGTCACTCGATTTTGAAGTCCGCGCGAAACCATGGTTTCGAGAGATTGCGGCATGCGCGCGCGACGACGCGCGCGCACAATTCGCCCCATTTGTCGCGCGGGATCGCTGCGCGCATAGTTTCGTCTGCAGGGGGTGAGGGGGGGTGCCGTTGCCGGCATGCCGCGGACGGTATGGGTTCACATTCAGGATGGGCGGTGGGGCATTGATCGCATGCAACATGCGCCATGAAATGAGGGGCAGTTAAATCTAGAAGGGGAGGGGGGGGGGGGCGGGGGGGCTGGAGGGGGGGTGATCCGATTGTTGTTTTACTCAGAGAACCTATCTCGTTCAATCTAGTCGGTTGCGCAATTATACTTTGCAATCTACGTGGTGCAATATATTTGGCGCGGTTGGTTTTTGCCAGTGAGTATGGAGCTCCCACGCCTTTGCGCAACAAAAAAAACACCCACCCGCCACTTGGCTTGCAAACCCCATGCGGCTGCGATTGCGATGAGTGCATGGCGCTGGCTGGTGCATCTCTGCCGGCGCGCTCGACCGCGCATGCTCGCGCGCTCAGCGGCCAGCTAGTTTGGCGCGACCGACGCGGCCGCGTGGGTGATGACCGCGGGGCAATTCCTTGCGGGCGCTTCAGTGCAAGTCGGTAGGATGTGTGGGCGTGGTCTCATGGCGACGCCGACGACGGTAGACGCAATTACGAGAGTAGCGATGATGGTGGCAATGGTGGCGATGATGACGGCAAGGCCGATGACGGCACCAATGTTGATCGCCCCCGCTGGTAACGAAGACGACGTCTTGGCGCCAGCGATGGAGGTTTTGAAAGAGTTCGACATGCGCGCACGGCCGACGCGCGCGAGTGGCCCGCGTGGTATTGTTTCTTTGACACGGATCGCGCCCCCCCCCAGTAGCGCGCACGGGCGTCCTGATGAGTTCGACATGCGGCGCGAGAGGCTCTTTTGGCTGAGTTCGAGGAGCATATCGTAACCTTGGTGTTTGTTGGAACTTTCTCAAGGCAGCGAACACAGGATTAGTTTGAATACTGATGGTGCAAAACACTATGTTTTGACACGTGTGCGTTTTTTATTCGATAAATTGTCACGACGCCAGAATTTCCCCTTACTTGCCAAATATTGGAAAGCAAATCGCCATGCGCGCGCGACATCGCGCGCGCGCATTTCGTCCCATTTGTTACAAGGGTTTTTGGCGACAGCACGCGCGCAAAGGCGCTCGAGTTGCGACAGCACGCGCGCAAAGACGCTCGAACGATGTCGGCACCGCGCGCGAGAGGCCCGTAACACATATTGTTGTTTACCATTCGAATTTGCACTAGCGCCGGCGCAGGCTTGTTTTGAAAACCCGCTGTTGCGATTTGTTTTGCGATGCTGAAATCCGATTTGGGGTATTCGTGAATTTTGAACCGTTTTAGTGGTTCTCGATTTTGGAATCCGTGCGAAATTCTCGGTTTGTGAAAGATTTCGGCATGCGCGCGCGACGACTCGCGCGTGTGCGCTTTATTTTTTCGCAAGGGATTGTTGACAGGAATTGAGGGGGGCCCGATTCCGGTTGGTTTGGGATGCTATGAGTTCATACTTCGGATGGACGTTGGGGCAGGATCGCGCGCAACGTGCAACACGAAAGAGGGGAGGGGTGGGGGCAGATCCCAATACTTTTTAGAAAGGAGCCCATATGTGGTGCAATCTGTGTTGTGAACCATCGAGGGGCGCGCCGCAGGCGCGATTTCTTTTTGTTGGTTCAAGCTGCGTAGTGCAATCCGGCGGCAGGGACGGGGGGCGACGAGGCCGCGGCGAGGCGGCGACGGGGCGGCGACGGCGACAGCACAGCCGCCAGACCAGCCGTACGGCCCAGTCGACGGGGCGGCGACACGGCGGCGACAGCGACAACATAGTTATGGAAGTCGATTAATGGCGAGGAAGCATGCTGCCAAATAATTTCCATATTTCTAAAATATGTTCCAAAGCTGTTTCAAACATGTAAACAAAACATGCTTGAAACGTTGTTAGAACATGTTTTACACACGTTAAACACATGTTCATCTCAACAATCGGATTGTTAGAGTGTCCATTGTCATGGCATCCACAACGCTAGGCCAGCCATACGGCCCAGTCGACCGGCGGCGTCGGTGCGGCGACGGCGACAACATAGCCGCCAGACGGGCCACACGGCCAAGTTTCTTAGAGCAGAAGTAGGACCTCTTACTTGCAATCACTGTTTTGGGAAACTTGCATGAGGTATGCGTGTGGCAGCAGAGCAGCACTTCTACCTGAGTCTTGGCTCACTGAACCCGCAAGGGAGTCTCGACTTTCTTTTCGTAGGGACATGCCGAATGGCCACCATTTCAGGTGACTGACAGAATTCTCTGGTGCATTATTTCTGCTGAGGACCTGGATGCCTTAGAGAAGGTTCTCAACGGGGAGCACAAGGGCAAGATCAAGCTTGTGTACACGGTGTGCGTGCATCACAATCCGACCGGGATCACGATGTGCAACGCAAAGCGTGAGAGATTGGTGAAGATGGCCAAGCAGGTGTTTCGGTTTGTCGTTTCGTGTTGCTGTCTTCCTTCGGCTGTTTGATGCATTCACCGTACTGCGAGTTCAATTCTAGAAACAGGGAGGAGGGAACGAAACGGGGCAATCAAGGAAGTATGCAAGGAATCCTGGGAATTTCTTCGGGGCCTGTGCGCCACAAGGCTTGCTCGTGTCACTGCCACCGCTAATTGTAATGCCATGCCTCTTTATCTGCCGCCTCTTTCTCAGCAGGAGGGGGAGGAGGCCATGCAGGACAGGACGAGGCTCGATGGAGCCGGGGGGGGCTGGACATGAGCTGTTTTGCCATATTTCTCGGGAACGGTGCCCAGTGGTCTTGCGGCGAGGTAGCAAAGCCAGGATGCCCCTCGAGCCTGGGAGGAGGAGGGGAGGAGAAGGAGGAGGAGGAGGAGGAGGAGGAGGAGGGTGGTGGGGGCGTGCTGGGCGAAGGCCAGGTGCGCCGTCCCCTCCCTGCCCCTCTGCGTCGGGCGCAGCTCGCCTTGGCGCGCCCGGCTAAGTCTGGTTTGCGTCGGATCGGGGCCAGCGCCGACGACAAACAAACGAATGACCTCAGAGCCCCGAATCATCAGGGGTAACTCGGGTCAGGGCTAACTCGGGTCCGTTTTTCGGGATTCCGAACCCGACTTACCCCGGACCCGACTTACCCCGGATAATTCGGGCGTCCAGAGCCCCGACTCATCAGGGGTAACTCGGGTCAGGGCTAACTCGCGTTGGTTTTTCGGGAATCCAAACCCGAGTTACCCCGGACCCAAGTTACCCCGGATAACTCGGGCGCCCATTACCCCAGTGGTTGGGTTACATGTGATCGAATTCTTGTTTGTTGAATTGCCGATCGGCGCGGGCCCTCGCACCCCCTCCTCCCACCCCCCCCCATGGAGTAGATCTTGACAGTTTTTGGTGCCTGTTTCGAGCAGGTGGGTCTCCCCCCTAGAACGCACTGCTGCACACAGTCGCTTTAAGCAGAGGTCCGGAGCCAGACCCCCCTTCCCCCCCCCCCTTCCGCCCAATGTCGAACCGCCGAATCGAAAAACGTTCAAGATCTTTCGGTGACTTTGTGTTCTGCGTGTTTTGTTTTGGCAGCCCCGCGTATTCGCCTCGAGCATTCTCCTTCGGTCTCGGCGAAGGGTCGGCCGGCGTGGCTTCCTAAGTGTGTGTTCCCTCGTGCGCGTGTATCGGAAGGTCAGGAGGGAAAAACACACAGACACAATTGACCGTCGATTCCTAGGAGCATATCGGAAGATATGGGAAGTGGGGGGGAAGACAAAAACCCAGAACATATGGGAAAATATGGGGAATCGTGTGTGCCAGGGCCCCCTGAAAGGTCCCGACGTGAAGGCACTGCTGGCCAGCAGGCTGCGGCGCTCGCGGGTCCTGCTGCTCTCGCGGGCGCCGCGATGCCCGCGGGATCCGCGGAGCAGTCGTGCCCACAGGCGGCGCGAAGGTTGTGGAGGACGAGCAATGAAGAGGAAGCATGTTGCCAACCGATTCCCAGATGTAGACAAATGTGTAAACACGCTTCCTCATGTAAAGACAAGTTTCAGACATTTTGAGCATGCTTCAGACATGTTCAACGCATGTTCAACTCGATGATAGAGTTGTTACGGTGTCCATTGTCATGGGATCCACAACTGTCATGTGCCGCGGCCCCGACGGCTCGGGAACGCTCATCCGACAGCCGAGTCGTCGCGGTCCCTCGGCGGGAGAGAACGGGAGGAATACCTTCATGCGCCGCGGTCCCGACGGCCCGGCAACGCTCATTCGACAGTTGAGTCGTCGTGATCCTTCGGCGGGAGAGAACAGGAGCAAATACCTCGACAGTACGACTTCAAGATCATCGCGGACGAAGCGTACCAGCTCCTGAACTTCGCGCCCAGCTCGGCGGCGCGCAAAGGCTTCGCGGAGCGAGGGCCGGCGGCCTTTCTAAAGAGGACCCCCCCGCCCCCTGGAGGCCATCTTGCCTGCATCGGCGCGATCGTGGATCTGAGCGAGTAGAAGCGACACCACAACCATCGGGCTTTGGCGAGGAGGAGGAGGTCCTGGATGCTTCTCAGAGCTGGAGAGTGGGATGTCTACACCGGGATGGTGGTGGTGATGCTGGTCAGGAAGGGCAGGGCCCTCTGAAAAAGTGTTCCCTGCACTCTTAGAAGGCTGCCCCCCCAGACCTCCGACGACCTGATTGTTGTTCGTGTTACCAGGCCCACTTGCTCTCGCTCTTCCTCGGACCTGCCCCACATCTTGGCTCGTCGTTTGACGACCCTGGACCGATCCTCAGGACGCGTCTTAGCCCAGTGTGGATTTGCGCGGTTCAGCTCCATCGACAGCGCGCAGCCTGTATCGACCCTCATTGGGTTGCTTGCTTCTCATTGAAAGGCTTCGGTGGACGAGCACCCGTTGGCGCTCACACGCGGTCTGAGGATCATCGGCTCGAGCCGACGACAAAAAACCGCGGCGCGGCCTTGGCACATCAACATCTGCCCTTAAAACGCCCAGCGCGTTCGAGCCGCCAGGGGCGTGGGCCCGCCCCCCCCTCAACCCTGACTCCCCTACGCGCCGCTGGCCGGCGGCGTGAGCTCGATGTTCTACCACGACGACCCCGCCAACCCCCGCGTCCTCGCGATCGGCACCTTCTCGAAGCTCATCGGGCCCGGCGTCAAGGTCGGTTGGGTGCAGGCCGCCTCGGCGGCTGGCGGTAGCGCCCTGTGGGCTTCGGGGGGGGGGTCGGGGATGACGTTTCGCCGCAGGTGGGTTCGAGGTCTTCTTATGTGTGCGTCGGTTCTGGTCGGCTTGCCTGCCTCGGGATGCGTGCTCAGCAGCTGCGCCTCGCTGAGAGGCGCCCAGGGGTGCCCCGATCGTCCCGAACGGCCGCCAGGGGTGCCGAGGTATGACACGAAGACCAGGCGACGACGATCGCTGGTGGGATGGGCTCATGGGGAGATGCATCGAGCCCCGCTGATAGGAACCCGATTGCCCACATACCCTCAGGAACGTTCGGTTTCGCTATCGGGGGCATCTCGCCGACTTATCGGCGATGAATCTCCGATTCCAGGTCGATGTTTCCCCCTCTGATCCCGTTCTCGGCGATCTGTCGGCGATGCATCGCCGACGTCAGGTCGATGTTCCACCTCCCCCCCCTGAGCGGGTTCCCCCCCCTGTTCCCCCTCACCCTCGCGGCCGCGGCTTCACTCGGCACGAGAAGCAGTCAGCATGCTGTCCACGGCGGTGGGGCTGGCCAGCGGGGGCAAGGGGGTCGACAATGAGCGAAGATTGCCCTCAATCAGGCTTATACCGCCTCGGCGCAGCGGCGAGGCCAGCGCAGGCGTCAAAGATTCAGCACCATCCTGGGAGCCCGCTTCGGGCCCTGGGGCCCACAGAAAACAGCCATGGTGCGAAGCCGAAGCTGGTGTCGATAGATTTTGTGCCGTACGAGCGCGCACATTCGCCGTTGCTTCGTCCAGCCCCCACCTGTTCTCAGCTTTCTTGCCAACGGCGGGGCTGGTTGTGCCGGTCATTCTTCAGTTGTGTTGTAGCGATTGGCGAAATATATGGTTCGGTAGAGTTCGGTGTCGCCCGAATTCATTTTTCGTGGAGCGCTTGGCAGACGGACTGGTTGAGTGGTCGCAATCGCAAGCAGGCCGTTTTATGTTTGGTGCCCTGTGGCGAAAGCCACCGCACAACCAGTAGGAGACGGACGAGGGCGCAAACTGCATCGATACCCATTGCGCGCGCAAACTATGGCACAGCATATTGCGCCACATCTGACGCAACTGATGGCGCAACTCAAGGCAAAGCCCATGGCGCAACCCATGGTTCAACCCCTCGCGCAATCCATTGCGCAAGTTCTGCCGCAATCTCGGGCGCAACCCATGGCGCAACCCGTGGCACAGCCTGGGGCGCAGCCTACGGCGCAACCCACTGTGGAACCCGAGACGCAGCCCATGGCGGAACCTGTGCAGTTTGCCCTGCCAGCCTCTCTGGGTTTGCGCCCTGACAGTGCTCGCTGCTTGGTCTGCGAAGCGGTGGGGCCCCAGCGGCGAGCTGTCCCGTGCTCTGGACACCCTGCCTTCCTGCACCCCGTCTCCCAAAGTAAGGCTGTGCGTGGCCCGCCCAGCTTCTAGCGGAAGAGGCTCGCGCTCGCCCCGCAGATCAAACACTGTGTTCTGGACGCCTCCCTCCCGCGGGCGAGGTGCGGAGGTGAGGACCCGCCTTGGGCTCGGGATGGGCTCGGGTCTTCGGGCCGGCCTTGCGGTTTCTGTCGTGGAGCCGGTGCGTGGCCGAGGCTCGCCGTGGCCGGGAGTCTGGCATCGCTCGGACGTGTGCACGTCTTCTCGGCGAGGACCGTCGAGGACCATCCCGGACCATCGAGCAAAAAGAACATGCACGACACCGAAACATGCACGGAGAAGGGACGTCCGAGCGACGGCAAGGGAAAGCCTCCTGGTTCCTAATCTGGCCTTCCTCGCGGTAGCACGATGGCTCTCTGTCCCGGCCGCCGCGTTTGGGATTGAGCAAGCACGTATTGGGGAAGCATACGTGGAGTGCATGCGACTTTTCGGGGGCATGGTGTCAGAGTTATAAGTCTCAAGCATGCGACGGCACACACACACACACACACACACATTCGAGTAACATAGAAGCTGTGTTGCGAGTAACACAGAAGCTGTTTTGCGCAGCGCATGGGCTTTTCATGGGTGAGTGTTGGCTGGAGCAGTTGTTTGTTTGGAATCGGTTAGAGACTCTCGTTATCAATTCAATGATCACCAGCACGATTTTGTCTGAACCGAAGTTATCTTGCACATGGAGTCTGTTCATGATCCATACAATAGGGAGGCAGCCCTACGGTGTGTTAGTTGTCCTGAAGATTTGCCTTGAAGCATGGGAGATTGAGTATTCTGCAACCGCAGGCGCACCCACAGATTCTGAAGCCGCTGATCAGCATTGGTTTCATCGACTCCGGCAACAATCCTGCCATCATGTCGTCTGGTCTGCTCAACGAGTTCATCGCCTCTGGAGACGCTGAGGGCTTTTTCATGACCTCGTGAGCTCCTGGGCCGCTGGGGCTCTTTGCTTGCTTTTGTCAGAAAGCTCAAGGTGGGACAAACATCACCTTTTCGGAGGCCCGGGCGGCTTGCTTGCGTCTGCGTTGGGCCCTCCTCCCTGGGCCCTCCTCCCTACACTCCCCGTGGCGCTCCCGGCGCCCCCTCCGCGCGCACCGCGTGCCACGGACCCGGGGGGGGGGCGGGGACGGGAGGCCTGCGCCGACCCGTGAGATCCGCGCGGACCACCGAGCGCTTCTGTTCTATGGCGTTCTGTGTGTGCTCCCGTGGCAGGCAACCATGTCGGACACTGGAACATGTACATTACTAGTGGCGGGTTGTTTTTTCAATCCCACAGCTTTCTAGGATCGGGGACGACGTCGGGGTGGTGTGGTGTGTACTTGTTTCCCCGTTTTTTTAAGGAAAGCAACAAACATGTACACACCAGTATCCCGTATACACCAGGATCCGCGTTCACGTGCGAATTTCAGCGCAGGGTCGGAAAAAAGCGTCGGTGTATAGGGTTCGGTTCCATACATGATAGTAAGGGTGGGGCAGCTTTCCAAGTCTACCCTTGCATCCTTGCCCCTTCAGTGTTCGGCATCCTTCGGCATTCTGCTCCGCTCCGCACGGAAAACGTCAACCTGGCGTTCCAAGGCCTTTGCATCCTTACCGCGCATCCTCACCATCCTGGTCGCGTGCATGCTGTGTCCCAGTTCGAGCCCGTCTATCTTCCGTGCTGCCCATCCATGCGCTGGGCTCGGCCGGGAGCAGGGACGCGCACCGCTCTGACGCCGCGTCGTCCGAGAGTCCCGTCGTGAGCGGGCACGTGACCTGTGCGGCCCGTGGCGCCGGCCCTGCGACCCAGGATCGCGTGTGTCGTAAGGCTGGGTAGTCGAAGGCCAGACTGTCAGATTGGACTGGGCCCCAAGGGCCAATCTGGATTCGCCAGACTGGATTCGCGTTGGCTCCCTCGCCAGATCGCCCCCGTTTGCCAGATTGGGCCTGCCAGATTGGCGCCAGATTGGCTTCGACTATCCAGGTAAGGCTCAGAGGGTTGGTGGGGAGCTTTTCGGGATCCTGGGGCAGTTTGAGCCGTGCTTGGCCCTCATCGGGGCGCACGCGACGGGGGTCAGCGCTGACGGGGGTCGGCCAAACCTTCCGATCTTTTCGTGCCGAAAAGGGGTTTGGGAGCCGTGTGGGACCGACACCGCCACCCCTTCCCTGTGCTGACCAAGGTTTTGGACCTATGATGCGGACCTCCTATTTCGTATGCGACCAGCCATCCGCGTTTTGCAGCGCATGGACAGCCAATTCGGAAAACAAGAGCTAAACAGTATGATTTTCCCAGTGGCCCCATGGCTTTTGTGTGCTCTCCAATCTCAGATGGCCGCTTCCTACGCGGCTAGCAGTTCTCCCTTTTTAGAGCCGACGTGTAGTGCAACATGGCTTCGAACGAACGAACGTACGCGGACGGTTTGGGTTCGTCACATGTCCTTGGCTCATCCAGGTTGATGCTGACATGGATTAATTAGCGGAATCCCAAATTTTACAAGCGCACGCAAGAGAAATTGGAAGTTTCAACGGGCAATCGGCGTTCCAAGTCGAGACATGTCCGCCATTTTGAAGATTTTGATGCCTGCTGGAGATCTCTTTGGAATGCCTTGTGGGCTACCTGGACCTGAACATCGTTCACACAAGACTCGGTGTTGCCGTTTGGAGAGCCATAGCAAGGAGCATCAAAGCATCGATAGTATTGCACAGTTGTGGGCACCATATTTGGTCCCATGGGACCTGGATGGCGTCTGTCCAAAGTTCCTGGGCACAACCCGACGCCGCAGACGGTTCCGAATGTCTTTCGTGCACATACACGTTGGCTCATCCGAGACATCTTGAAACCTCCAGGGTCATAGGGGCAATACACTATAGCCACATCGGAATGTGACGGGACGACTAATACATTCCTCCATTTCTCTTGAACAAAAGGTTCAGGCATTCACAATTTCGATGCCGAGCATATTATTCCGGATCGTGCGTAAATGCTTCTGGGAGTGCCGTTTTGCCCAGCAGAGGTTCGCATTCGCCCGAAGTGGTTTTGATGTGTTGCGTCGAGGGCGACCCGATAGACCTACAGAGGTGCACGGTATAATTGGCAGAGTGTCTTGCATTGACATCCTCTCTTGCGTTGATTTGCCAGCTATACAGTCTCGCCGCCCTTACAGCCGGCAAGTCGAAGGTAACGCCATCAAAGCGCATTGGGTCCCCATGTTGTATTATTGTTGTTGCTCATGCTCATGGGCGCACTCGTACCTCACACCCCTCCGTTAGGATACAATTCTTGGGAGGTCAAATTCAGAATCGGCGGCGTTGGTAGATCCGCGCTTGATAACAAGCCTCATCCCTTTCAATTCCGCTTCTTCCCGTTCACTCTTGCTTAATCCAGTTTAACATTGGGTTTCCTCTCGCGTAATATGTCTGCCCCCTACCGGCCAGACAATTAACCACTCGAACCCACCTACGACCCGGCGATGTTGTGATTTTAATCGATTCCCCCATGCAGTCTCGGCGTGGTGTCATGGAGACCGCGTGGCGGCGTCGAGCAGACGCAGTCGCGGAATGCTATGTACACGCCGTTCGCAGCAGCAGCGACGTGGGTTCCGTACGCCAGCAGCGCGAGATCCCCTTTCGCAGACTATACGCCGTTTGCCATGAGCACCCCCGGATGGTGCTGCTTGGCGCCATGCTGCCAGCACTTGCCGTCACTCGCCGTCCTGCTCAGCGCCGAGACGTACGCGCCATGCTGGACGCTTGCGTGTTTCAGAACAGTTCGCTGTACCCAGTCGGACTGCTCTGCGTCGTGCTTGCTGCGCCCGTCGGGATGACCAGCTTCGTGGCGCCAGGTTCCGCCGTGCTGTCACGTGGTGGGCGATGGGGCCTTCGCTCTGCGCGCCGCTGGGCTGCTCAGTGTTGTCATGATGCTCGCCGTGGTACTCAGCCTCGTGTTGCTCGTGCCCGTCCTTCTGACCACTGGTAGACATCGAGATCGTGTTGCTGCGCTCCGTCGCGCCCGCCGCGCTGCTCGGTGTCGAGCTCTTCGCGCTCGCTGCGCTGCGCAGCGTCGTTCTCCTGGCGCCCGGTGGGCCGCCCACCTGCGCGCGGCCGCGTCCATCGCCGCGTTCCTGCAATGTCCCCAGGAGCTGGTCCGAGTAAGCAGATCAGCGTAGTTTCGGTGGTGCCCGTCGTGGTGGTGATTGATGGATCTCCGCGGTGTCCGTCGCGCCGCTTGGTGACGCGTTGGAGATGCAGTTGTTGCTGCTCACTGGTGTCCGTCGATTCATTTACCGTCGCGCTGATGAAACCTCTCGCACTGGTAGCCACGCAGTAAGATTGCTTGAAGCTGGCCATGGAGGAGGGGGCGGGGCAGCACGAGAGCACGATGAGCATGGTGTTTTGGAACGACATCACCCTCGCTGGCAGCAGCCCCGCCGCCACCGCCACGCCGACACCCGCAACAGAAACAACATAAGGATCAGCGACGTATTTCTGGGAGGAGTAGGGATCGGGGAAGGAATAGTGTGGCGGGAGCGTGAGGACGGAATAATGAACGGTAGCAACAGAGAAGGGGAGGGGGAAGGGAAAACGAACAGGGGGGAGGCAGAGGAGGGAGAAATGACACGTAAAAAAATGTAGGTGGGGATCGGGTGAGGAGGAAGGGGGGACGATGTGATACGGAAGAGGGGGAGGGAACGGTAACGGGAGGGGGAGAAGAGGGAGGGACGGAGGGAGGGGTTAAGGACGGAAGGAGGGAGCGAACGCGGGGGTAGAGGGGCAAGGCGGGAGGGAGGAGGGGGGAGGAGGGAGGAGGGGGGAGGAGGATCATTTGGCATCGCTCGGAGGTGTGCATTTCTTTTCTCGGCGAGGACCTTCGAGGAGCATCCTCGACCATCTGGCGAAGACAACATGCACGAAACCGAAAAAAGCACGGGGAATGGACGTCCGAGCGACGGGGAGATCATGAGGGAGAGGGGGGATAGGGGGAGGAAGGGGGGATGCCAGGGCCAGAGACACCGATACGACCGAGGCCAGCGAGGCAGCGTGCCGGGCACCCCCGCAGGAACTGAGGTTTCGGGAGGGAGGAGGGATGGGGGGATGAGCGTATACCACAAGTTCTTGCGTGCATTTCTGCATGGCATAAGCGAGTGCGTGGCAAGATCGAACAACTCAGCATGCCGGGTCGTAGGTGGGGTGGGGTGTTTTATGTTTCATGTCTACCTTCATCGTTCTTAAGATGACCTCCCATGAGTCTCTTCCTGAGCACCTGTGGTTAACCAGCTTCGAGTGTCGTCACCCCTACCGGTGAGATTAACATACCCACAGGGGATGACAATTTTAGGGGTGCGCCTTCAAGCTTGGGGGACGTCTTAAGACCGGCATCGAAACGAGGTGGTGCCAATCATAGAGATAGGCATGTGCATCAGGCTGGTCAGCGCGGATGCGCCGAGGCTGCGGGGGCGGCGAGGAGGGTCAGAGAACAACCGGCGTCGGCGCTCGCGCCCCTTCCCCGCAGAGGACGTGTCGGCCTAAAACCCAGAAGCTGGGATGCATTGGCATGCGCCTCGCTCTCTTCGGAAGGAAGGTGAGGCGACACCGCCACCATGGGGGTCATTTCTAGCGACGGGCCAGGATGCCTTCCGAGCTGGGGGTACGGAACGTCTCGTGCGAGAGGGGGAGGCCACACCACCAGGAGGAGCCGCTGTGGCGCCTCGTGTTGGTGGCGGTGCTGTCACCACTGCTTGCTTAGTGGACGTCGATTAATGGAGAGGAAGCATGCTGCCAAGTAATTCCCATATGTCTAAGAGATGTTTCAAGCATGTTTTAAATATGTAAAAACATGTTTGAAACATTGTTAGAATTTGTTTTGCACAGTTTAAGCATATCTTGAATTCAATGACAGGGTTGTTAGAGTGTCCATTGTCGTTGCATCCACAATGCTTGCTCCTCCACGCCAGACGGCGCATAGTTCACGAGGCAGTCGTGCAGATGGCCCGCCGCGCCGGGCCTTGGCCAAAGGCGCCTCCCTGCTGGGCGGAGCACAGGCGCTCGGTCGCCTGCCGCGCTCTCTCTCTCGCTCTCTCTCTCTCTCTCGCTCTGTGTTTCTCTTTCTCTGTCGCTTCGGTTCGCGTCGACCCGAGAGAGAGAGAGAGAGATCGAAGGTGGATAGATTTCCTACCCTGACACGTCGATGAAGGGATTGGCCGTTTTCGGTTCGCGAGAGGGCGTCGTGGCTGTCATTCTAGCAGGCCAGGTCCGTCGGTTTCGGTCCCGGGCCGTTTTCACTAAGGGGAGGTTAACTAAAGGGAGGTTTGTCCACCGCCGAAGAGAGAGGGAGAGAGAGGATGGGGCAGGCTTCGACCGACCGATCCAACCTCCTCGACCCGTGCCTTCGAGGAGTGCTCGGGTCGAGGAGGTCGGGCGTCGCAAGGGGGAGCGCCCAGGAGCCCTGGCCAAGCACATCGAGACCGTCTCCAAGAAGTTGGGCGCGAAGAAGGACCTCCTGGTCTCCGAGCTGAAGAAGATCGGCCCGCCTGGGCGGGTCGAATCGGCCACGCGTAGAAGGGGGTAGGGGGGGGGCTTCTTAGAAGCACCCCTGCTTCTTAGACGGCGTGGGCTTTGTCTGTAGATGTAAGGACGGCGCCTTCTAAGAAGCATTCCTCCTCCTACCGCGCCGCCAAACCGCGTCGCATGTCGAGCCGCGATCGTTTCTCTCAAGCAGTGGCGTGGCGTCCTGACTTGCCCTATGAGTCTACCGATCAATGCTTGCACGAACAATTGCAACATCCCTGGCTGGGACAGTCTTGTTTTGTTATGTCTGCTGCTTGCTCGTTCATGTTGTATGTTCCAAACCAGAGCTTGCCTCTGTATGGGGTCATAGCGGATTCATACGGTTAGGTGGGGTGCGTGCGTCGCCGATTTCAGTGGCTGGCCCGTGTGCCCCGGTGCCTGGGGGGTACCCGGGTGCCTGGGTGCCCGGGTGCTGGAGGTGCCCTGCCAGGGGTGCCCAGAGGTGTCCGGGGGTGCCGGGGTGCCCGGATGCTCTGGTGCTCTATCGCCCTATAGTCCTATAGCCCAATAGCCTAATAGCTATATAGCCCTGTAGCCCAATAGCTTTATAGCTCTATAGCCCTGCAGCCCTATAGCCCAATAGCCCAATAGTCCTATAACCCTACCTATACGACCACCCTTCGGGTGAGAAGGAGGTTCGGGGGGGGAGGAACCAACGTCTCACTCGATCGGTCTCACTATCGATCTCACTATCGATCTCACAATCGGTCTCGCTCGATCGATCTCACTCGATCGATCTCACAATCGATCTCATTCGATCTACTTCATTCGATCGATCTCACCATCGATCTGACTATCGATCTCACAATCGATCCCACTAATTATCGATCTGACTATCGATCTCACAGTCGATCTCACTATCGATCTCACAATCGATCTTCCATTCGGTCACACTATCAATACCACTATCGATATCACAATCGATCTCACAATCAACGTCATCATCATCATCACCAACATCATCGTCATCAACGTCATCACCATCATCAACATCATCATCGTCATCATCGGGGCACCATCATCATCATCACCTCATCACCGTCATCATCAACCTCATCATCACCATCATCATCATCATCGGGGCACCATCATCATCATCAACATCATCAGCATCGGGACACCATCATCATCATCATCATCACCATCATCGGAACACCATCATCATCACCATCATCACCTCACCATCATGAACATCATCATCAACATAATCGTTTTCATCGGGGCACCATCATCATCATCATTAACAGCATCGTCATCAACATCATTATCATTATCGGGACACCATAATCACCGGGACACCATCATCATCACCATCATCATTTTCCTCATCGGGACACCATCATCATCATCATCATACACATCTTCATCACCATCACCGGGCCACCAACATCAACATCATCATCATCAACACCACCATCATCATCATCATCATCATCATCAGGGCACCATCATCGTCATCATCATCAGCATCATCATCAAATGGACACCATCATCATCATCGCCCTCATCATCAACAGCATCATCATCGACATCATCATCTTCATCGGGGCACCATCATCATCATACTAGTGCGCGCACGTCTTGCGTCAGCCGATGTTGCTCTCCGCAGCGTGTGTTGCTCAAAGGGAGGGCCCCCTGGATGCATATGCAGGTAGACCCTCTGCTGCTGTACACACTCACACGTGACTCTCTGTCGGGAGTGTACCATCTCTTTTCGGGGCCTCAGGTTGAGGAGGCGTGTCCGCCGTGTGTCTGCCAGTGCGTCGCCTCAGGCAAGGCGAGTGGAGAGTGCGCCGCACTCGAGCGCCTGGTCTCCCAGCAGCTGCAAGGCCCAACGACCAGCACAGCGCGCTACGAGTTCAATTTCGTGCTGCACGCCGGCTTCATCGCAGTGGCCTTCGTAGTGGGAGCTCTCCTAGGTCGTGGCTGCTCGTTTCGGAGTTCCAAGCGAGTAGTCAGCCTGACCGATGGCGCAGCTAGTGGCGGCAGCAGGGCAGGCAGGAGCGGCGGGGGCGGCGGCGGTGTCATCGTCGTTGGCCCCGGGGCGTAAGGTGCTGGTGCGTTACGACGATGACCTCTGGCACGTTGGAATTCTGCTCGCGCGTGTGGAAGACACACGGTGGGTCATATATACACCTGATAGTGACCTGTATGAGGAGGACTACGGCCCGAACAATAGCGACATCACAGGTGTGCGGGCTTTCAAGGCGGACGGCAGCATCCCGGCGAGCTTGCAGGGTGCCAACATTTACAATTTCAGAGCCGGTGCCGAACCTGATCAGGCCGCGCTGCGTGGGCTGATGGAGGAGGCACAGGATCTGGTGGCACTGGCCGGCCGCGGAGTGGCTCCGCCAGGGGCCGAGCCTGAGGTCTGGCTGTTCGCGGAGTCGAACGCGGTGTTCTCGGCCGGGGACGAGTGCCCAGGGCAGCCAGAGGTGTTTGTGGAGAAGCGCGGCCTCGCTCGCGCTGGGCTGGATGTGCTCATGGTTGAGAAGGTGGCGAGGAATCAGGTCGAGCAGTGGAAGACGGCCCACGCCGCCTCCAGCGACGCGCGGGTGCTGCCGGCGCGGTATTCCCCCTCTGGTGAGCGGCTGCGCAGCTGGGCGGACGTGGCCGAGAGCGTGAACGAGAGTGCGATCGACCACTGGCCCGTGAAGGGGCCAAGGACAGCGCAGTGGGTGGCCCGCTTCATGTCCCGACGCAACACAGGGCTGGAGGACCACCACCGCTGGTGGAGGTCGACCGCTCGACTCAACGCCTCAGACTTGGGCGTGGCCGAGCACGGCCAGCTGTGCTCGTACCTGGAGGCGGCGGGGGGCGTGGACCAGCTCGACCTGTCGAATTTGGTGGTGATGGAGAAGATCGCACGCCGACTCCAGACTATAGAGTACCAGTACGCGGAGAAGGTTCGGGAGGGCGAGCGCGGTGGCACCGCTGGCGCGTCTTCCGCCGTCGCCGGCTCGGCCGTCATCGCGAATGACGAGATGGACCTGTTCGAGGGGCGGGAGCGTGTCAATCCTACGGCGTGCTGCGCCCCGACGCTCATTGAGCACGTGAGTAAGGAGTTAGAGAAGGAATCGCAGATCCAGAAGCAAGCCAGAAAAGCACGAGAAGAAAGAGCCCTGCTTCGTCAGCCCCCAGGCGGAGGTGGTCGTGGCCGTGGGGGCGGCGGGCAATGAGCACACGCGGGGCCATCGGAGACGGCCTCCTCCGACGGCCAGCAGTGCAGGCAGGCCATTCATCGCTCGCAGGAGCGACCAATTCGAGTGCAAAGTCGAGTCGGCTACTTTCGTCGACTGAGCCTCGGCCACTTTTAAAGCATCGGGTAAAAGCATCGAGGTCAGACCCCTCGATCTGTGCGACTAGGCGGCCACCAGGGCTGAGCAGTCTCCCAGTCTCTTCTGAGCAGTGGTTGAATAGGCTTAGTCACAGCGCCGCGTCCGTCCTTACGGACATGTACCTGGGTGGTGCTCCGTGCTGTCCTGCTGGTGCTTCTTCGTCCCTGGGCGAGGGCAGCATGGGGCACCTCCGGGGACGTTGCAGTAGGATGGGCACCCCCCCCGCCGATGTTCAGCCGGCCGAGGCTTTTTCGAGCATCAGCGGGGGGCGCGATTACTCTGGCGAGAGTTCGCCGGCAGTTCCCCTGGACGAGTCTCTGCTGTCACTTAGGCCAGCAGGGACGGCCCCAACTGATATATGCCAGCTCTTGGGCCCCAAAGGTCGTGAGGAAGTCCAGGAGTGGATGAGCGAGCATGTGCTGCCAAACTCGGTGGGCATGCACAGTTTTGAAGTGAGCAAGATGAAGATGTATCATGACCCTGGTCTGCGCAAGTCAATGCGCAGATATGCACGCGTGCTTCAGATGCTGCGTGACAGGAACATGGTTGAGTTTGTGTGCGAGGAAAGTGACGCATGCGTAAGACTTTTTACTGCGCGCAAGAAGAGCGGTGCCCAGCGCCTGATTGCCGACTGTCGGCAGTCAAATTGCTTTTTCACAAGTAGTGATCACGTCGAGCTGCCCACGTCGGGCGCCCTGTCCAGGTTGCGGCTCGAGGCCGGAGAGCAGCTGCATGTAGGTCAGTACGATTTAAAGGATGCTTCCTTTCAGTTTGGAACACCCCCCGAGTTGCGGAGATTTTTCCATCTGCCCCCCATTAAGGCAAAGTGGATGAAGCAGCTGCTCCCCGACATTCTGAGCACTGGAGGGATTGTGCGACCTCGGCTTACTGTTATGCCGATGGGCTGGGTCCACGCGCTGTACTGGTGCCAGACAATACACGAGAGGATTTTGAGCCAGGCGTTTCCAGGCTCTCATCTTCTACAGGATCATCGGCCAGTTGGTGATCTGAAAAATGGGTGTGTGTCAGTATATGTGGACAACGTGGGCGTCTTCTCGAGCTCCCCTGAGGTTTGTCGTGATCTCACTCAGCGATCCCTGGAGGCTGTTCGAGGTGCCGGTTTAGAGGCTCACGAGGTCGATGTCGTCGGAGTTGGGGGAGATCTACTGGGGCTCAGTGTCTCGGGAGACGGTCGGATCTTGCCACGGCATGAAGGGAGATGGAAGGTGTGGATGGCTTTGGCGTTCCTCTTGAGGCGCCGTCGTTGCTCTGGTAGGACGCTCCGGAAGATCCTGGGACACATCACCCATCAGGCAATGCTCCGCCAGGAGTTGCTGTCATGCTATCGTGCCGTGTACGTATTCATAGAGAAGAACCCCGATAGCCCCTCCAAGTTGTGGCCCGCGGTGCTGAGAGAGCTCCGTTGGGCTCAGGCGTCGCTTCCGCTGCTTGAGTGCGACCTTACCAAGCCGTGGGGACCGAGGGCCTATACCTGTGATGCGTCACCGTGGGGTCTTGGGATATGTGCGGCACGGCCGCTCACTGAGGTGTTGGACGAGGCCAGCAAGTATTCAGATCGGTGGCATTTCTTGGGCGGAGGTCGTGTTAGTCCTCAGGCTGTACTGGAAGAAGGGGATGACGATGGCGCTGGGGCACCTGAAGGTTCCTTGCGAGGAGTGCCTCCTGTTCCTGGGCTTCACACTAGCCTGCTGCATGCTAAGTGGCATACGGTCAGTAGTAAGGCTTGGGAGCGTAGCGAACACATCACCTGTCTTGAAGGTCGAGCTCTGGTGGGAGTCCTCAGGAAGGTTGCAAAAACTCGCGGGTACATCCAGAAGCGGGTCCTCGTTCTCACGGACTCCATGGGCGCGTTGCTTTCGGCTCAAAAGGGGAGATCGAGCGCGCCTGGTCAGTGCCGCGTCGCCCGCCAGCTGGCCCCCCTCCTTCTGCTGTGGGACATCCAGCTCTGTCTGCGATGGGTGCCCAGCGAGAGGAACGTGGCTGACGGGCCGTCCCGCCGCGGGTTGCGGCATGCTGGCGCGGCGACCGCTGAAGGCAAGTTCCGCCGTGGCTGGGGCAGCGCGCGAGGAGAGAGTGCTCTCTCGGAGCGGCGACGCCGGGCACGTTCTGACCCGTCAGGCGCCGGCCCTGCCGGAGCTGCCGCCGGGCGCGGTCCGCCCCCCCCCCCCCCCAGCGGGAGGGTTGGCCTTGGCCGCGCCGGCGACGGCGCCAGCCGAGGATCCTCGCCTGCCGCGACGGCGCCTGGCCCCTGCCACAGCGCCAGAGCATGTGCGTCGGCGAGTTCGGCGACGGCAGGATGCTCGCGGTGCGGCGCGGGCCTTGCCGGGTCGGACGGTGCTGGAGACGGTGGTAGTGCGAGCGCCGACGAGGCGATCGTTCCTCCGTCGGCTGGCGGGGCTGGCGCGGCGCACGGGGATGGTGATCGCGCAGAGCGTGACGGGCGCGGAGCTGGACCAGGCGCAGGATCGCATCATCCGCTTCCTCGGCCAGATGAGCGCGGTGAGCCTGGACGCGGCGGTGGCGGAGCACCTCAGCGAGGAGTTCTTCGAGGGCACGACGGGGGGCGAGGGCGGACGGTTGCTGGCGGCGCTGTCCTGGGCCTTCGCTTCCGTGGGCAAGCAGGCGTGCAACCTCCCTCGGGCGCGGACATGTTCCGCGGCGTTGCGCCGACTTGCTCTGGGCGAGTCGAGGCTGCCAGTGCCCGAGAGCCTCCTCTTTGTGGTGGCGAACGAGCTGATCGCACAGGGGAAGTTGCAGCAAGGTGTAGCGGTTTTGGCGGCGCATCACTGCCACCTTCGCCCCGGCGAGCTGTCCCGCACCACGCGGGGGGTGACCCGCCCGCCAGTCAGTGCGAGTGGGCCCGGGGCCACAGTCACCATCGTGCTACATCCTTTCGAGCTCGGCGTGAGCTCCAAGGTGGGGGAGTTCGACGAGACAGTAAAGGTGGACTGGCCACCTCTTGCTACGGCGCTCCTTCGGCTTCGACGGATCCGCCCAGCAAGCGAGCGCCTGGCAGGGATCGGGTCGGTGGCCCTCGGCGAGAGCGTGGCGCAGATCATCCGCGAGTTCGGCTTCGAGGAGGCGATCGGCGAGTTCATGATGCATCGTCTCCGTCACTCAGGGCCAGGTGCCGACTTCCTGGCAGGTCGCAGGACGATCGCGGAGATCAAGCATCGCGGCAGGTGGTCATCAGACAGCAGTGTGAGAAGATATCAAAAGGGAGGCCGTATCAACGAGCTCCTAAGTCGGTGCTCTACTCAGATGAAAGTATTCGCCGCCAGGTGTTTGGAGGCTGTGCCGAGGATCCTGCAGAGTGCGGCCGCGCCGCTGCAGGCTCCAGCGGGCCTGCGCGCACGTTGATCGTGCCCTTCTTTTTAGAGATCTTTGCAGGCGCGGCTCGCGTGTCCAGGGAGATGTCCTGGCTCGGCTTCCTGGCGATCGCTATCGACACTCGGTTCGACGTGAGGCATGATATGTGTAAGAGATCCTTGGTGAGGATTATCAGAGGCTGGATCATGTCGGGTTTCGTCATAGGCATTCACTTCGGCACGCCGTGTATTTCATGGTCTCGTGTTCGTACCAGGCACAATGGCCCTCAGCCGCTCAGAAGCGGTGAACACATTCTTGGGCTGCCTGTTCTGCGAAATGAGGGAGAGCGCTGGAAGATTAAAATGGGAAACACTACCATGAAAAACACTGTGAGCATCGCGTCAGTGGCGTCTCTTCACATGGTCCCGTTCTGTATCGAGAACCCTTACTTATCCTTTATCTGGGAGGCGCCTCAGATGCTGCACTTACGACGACGTCGAACTACTCGTGAAATCCGAACTGATTTCTGTCAATGGGGAGCCCCTTGGGTGAAGCCAACTAGGTTAGTCTGTAGTTATCTGCCCGTTGAATCCTTGGGCCGCAGGTGTAAACTCTGCAGGGGAAGGTGTTCCAGAACTAACAAACCACATGTTTCCTTAACGGGCAAGGACAGCAATGGAATCTTTTAAACCCGCGTGGCCGAGGAATATCCAAAGTGCTTTTCCCGGGCCCTAGCCAATGCTTTCGCTAACGGTTTTAAGAGCCTGAAGGCCACCTCTTTCTCTGCAGTTTTGTAGTGAGTGTGTATCCAGGGAGAAGTCCCACCACCACCCCTTCTCCTCCATGATAGAACGGTTTGCACGTGTGGAGCGGAGCTGCGCTTCAGAATTCTGCGATGCTGTCGAGCAGCACCCTGAAAAGGTGCTGGTGCACAGCGCTTGAGATCGGTACAACTGTCTGCGCTGCCCGAGATGTAAAAAGGTCTGGCTGCCGTGCTCGTGCTCCCTCGGGTCTCGGCGGCTCTCCCAAAGCAGGCAGGTGTCTCACGCGCCCCGAAGGCAGATGCTACTAGTGCGCGCACGTCTTGCGTCAGCCGATGTTGCTCTCCGCAGCGTGTGTTGTTCCCGCCCACCTCCCTTGTCACATTACTTCTTTACCTTGCGGAGCGGAGCTGCGCTTCAGAATCCTGTGATGTTGTCGAGCAGCACCCTGAAAAGGTGCTGGTGCACAGCGCTTGAGATCGGTACAACTGTCTGCGCTGCCCGAGATGTAAAAAGGTCTGGCTGCCGTGCTCGTGCTCCCTCGGGTCTCGGCGGCTCTCCCAAAGCAGGCAGGTGTCTCACACGCCCCGAAGGCAGATGCTCGTTATCATGATCTCACCATCATCTCATCATCATCAACCCCATCATAATCATCAACCTCATCATCATTATCATCATCATCATCATCATCGGGACACCATCATCATCAGCAACATCATTATCAGCATCATTATTGGGACACCATCATCATCACCACCATCACCCTCATCATCATCAGCATCATCACCATCATCACCAACATAGTCAACATCATCAGCATCGGGACACCATCATCAACATCATCATCATCATCATCATCTTGACACCGACGGGACACCGGCGGGACACCGCGCGGCACCGGACGCTGGAAGGGAGTCATTTGGTCTGGCTGCGCCTCAGCCACAGCGGGACACCGGCGGGACACCGCGCGGCACCGGTTGCCGAAAGGGAGTCATTTGGTCCGGCCGCGTTTCAGCCACAGGAGACTTTCTTCTCGCCCGCCCACGCAGCTTCGCACGCACGGCACGCACGAACACGAAACCGAAATCCATTTCCTGGTAGGAGGGCTCTCCGTTCCACTTCGATCTCACCCCCTCACCTCCGATAACCCTATAGCTCTATAGCCCCATAGCCCTATAGCCCAAGAGCCCATATCGGAGGTGAGGGGGTGAGATCGAAGTGGAACGGAGAGCCCCCCCACTGGGAAATCGAATTCGGTTTCGTGTTCATGCGTGCCGTGCGTGCGGGCGACGCGAAGCTGCGTGGGTGGGCGAGAAGAAAGTCTTCTGTAGCTGAGGCGCGGCCCGAACAAATGATTCCAAATCTGCGTCCGGTGGCCCGCGGTGTCCCGCCTCCGGCTGAGGCGCGGCTGGACCAATTGATTCCGGACCGGCGTCCGGTGGCCCGCGGTGTCCCGGCGGTGCCCCGCCTCTGGCTGAGGCGCGGCCGGGCCAAATGATTCCAGACCGGCGTCTGGTGGCCCGCGGTGTCCCGGCGGTGTCCCCCGGTGTCTTGTCGGTGCCCCGATGATGATGATGATGATGATGATGATGATGATGATGATGATGATGATGATGATGTTGATGTTGATGTTGATGTTGATGATGTTGACGATGTTTGATGTTGATGGTGATGATGATGGTGATGGTGGTGATTATGATGGTGTCCCGATAATGTTGATGATGATGATGGCCATGGTGGTGATGATGATGGTGTCCCGATGATGATGTTGATGATGATGATGATGTTGCTGATGATGATGGTGTCTTGATGATGATGATGATGATGATGATGATGATGATGATGATGATGATGCTGATGTTGATGTTGATGACCCTGATGATGCTAATGATGCTGAGGTGATGAGATTGTGATTATGATGGTGTCCCGATGATGATGATGAGGTGGATGATGAGGTGGATGATGATGCTGTTGATGATGATGACGATGATGGTGCCCCGATGATGATGATAATGATGATGATGATGTTGATGATGAGGATATTGATGAGGTGATGATGCTGATTGTCATGATGGTGGCCCGAGGTTGATGCTGATGCTGATGTTGATGATGATGGTGTCCCGATGATGATGATGATGATGGTGACGATGATGCTGGTGCCCCGATGAGGATTATGTTGATTATGATGATGTTGCTGATGATGATGATTGTGTCCCGGTGATGATGACGATGATGCTGATGATGATGATGATGATGGTGATGGTGATAATGTTGTTGACATGATGACGATTTTGTTGATGCTGATGATGGTGACGTTCATTGTGAGATCGATTGTGATATCGATAGTGATGTCGATAATGAGACCGAATGCGAGATCGATTGTGAGATCGATATTGAGATCGATATTGAGATCGACTGTGAGTTCGCTAGTCAGATCGATTGTGAGATCGATCGAATGGAATAGATCGAGTGAGATCGATTGTAAGATCGATCGAGTCTGGCGGTCTCAATGTTGGCCGACGGTCTCGTGCACTGGATTGGGCGGTGACCGCGTGCCCTTGGCTCGACCGCCGGGTTGCTCGGAAGAAGTGGGCAGAGCACAACTTTCTCGCGAACGTGGCGCGGGCCCAGGACAGTCTCGCCGTCAAGGCTGCCAGGGGCGGGCTCACGGTTCACGAGCATGTGCAAGGGGGTCAGGCCATGGCAATCCCCAAAGAGCGTTGGCAGAAACGCTGCTCCGTCTTACTGCACACGCAGGTGCCTAGAGATTACCACCGCCGTTGCAGGTTCTCCGTGGCCACGGGGCCAGCCGGGCGTTCGCCATGCTCCAGGGGATCAGCGAGTTCACGTCGCCGTGTGTTTGGGCGGCGGTCTTGAAAGCTATTCTCGATGGGTGGACAACCCACAGTCGCATGCAGAGGAGATCCCAGTGCCTCTTTGGTGACGGTTGTGGTCAAGACAGCATGCAACACGACGCATTATGCAGCGTTCTTGCGGACCTGGCACGCCGCAGACTCGCATTGGATCATCCTGAGCCTCGCACACGTTTGGACGAGTTCTTGGTGTTGGAGCCGCGCTTCACGTTGGACCAGAGCTCGTGGTTCGCACGCCGGGTGCTGCTCATCTACGCCACGTTCAAAGCCACGAACGCAGCCCGGAACGGCCAGGGGATGGACACGAGCGACGCTTGGCAGCAGGCGTTCAAGGAGGGCGCGGCCTCCCGCCGTGACCTCGGCTTTCTGACTGGGCACACCTGAGTAGAGCATTGTTTTTTTTTCTCGGTTGTCCTTCCTCCTCCTCCGCCTCCTCCTCCTCCTCCCTCCGCCATTCTCCGCGCATGCAGGTATCATTCAACGCGTTTCGTTCGTTTGTATTTTGCCCCCTCCGATCTGGCGCGGTACGTTTCGAGGGATCGTCCAGTGATAGTTTTGCCATGATAAAAAAGAAAAAGAAAAGATGATGCTGATTTTGTTGATTTTGTTCATGGTGATGATGAGATGGTGATGTTGATGATGGTGGTGTGCCGATGATGATGCTGATGATGCTGATGTCCCGATGTTGATGATGCTGATGATGATGAAGGTGACGATGATGGTGTCCCGATGATGGTGATGCCGGCGGTGATGATGATGGTGATGAAGTGATGATGATGATGGTGTCCCGATGATGATGATGATGATGGCCATACTGTTGATAACGTGATGACGATGATATTGATGGTTATGATGATGACGCTCATTGTGAGATCGATTGTTGTACCGATAGTGAGATCGATAATGAGACCGAATGCGAGATCGATTGTGAGATCGATGTTGAGATCGATTGTGAGGTCGACTGTGAGATCGCTAGTCAGATCGATTGTGAGATCGATCGCGAGACCGATAGTGAGACCGATTGAGTGAAACATTTGTTCTTCCCTCCCCCCCCCCGTATTTCCTCATCACCTGAAGGGTGGTCGTATAGGTAACCCTATAGCCCTACAGCCCTATACCCCTTATAGCCCTATAGCCCGAAAGCCATGTAGCCCCATAGCCCTATAGCCGTTTTGCACCACAACCATATAGCATTGCAGCCCTATACCCCATATAGCCCTATAGCCATCATGGCCTTCACAACCATCGCGGACTTCATAAACCCATGGGGCAATTTCAACGGGATCTCATGCAATATCAAGAAAGACTACTTGGGGCTGTTCACCGGTATCATAATATCAGACCATCATTTTTTCTCTGACCACATCGCGGAATGCCTATAGGAATGCCAGGACGGTCGGTCCTTGTTCGGTTTTCACATCCCTCACACCTCTGTGGCAGGGTTTCTCCTGGGGGGATGTAGTGGCACGTTGCCCTCGGAAAAATATCGCGTCCTCTGGCTTGGGTCGAGATCCAGGGAGTCGTGCACTCCGGCCCCGAATAGATCCCGATCGTACTTCGACGCAGCCCGATGTAATGTAACTTCCGATCCGATCCGACGCAGCAAGTCGATGATTGATCTTGGAGGAGGCTCAGTGGGTCTCTGAAGCGGCAGGACGGGTTTTTGCTTGTTCCGTTGTTCGTGTGGTTTTTGTTCGGTCCCGTCGCCAGGAGTTCCCGTTTTCTTGGTGCTCCACACGGGATGCGGAAGCGGGAGCCGCTAGCTACGCTTGTGATTTTCCAACCTATTTTAGCCTTGCTCAGCAGAAAGAATTTCGAACACCGAACACAGTACCGAAACGCGAGCGTTTTCACGTGTCGGGCCCTGAGGGACATTCGTCCGACATTGTTTTGACACTCCTTCGGCACTTCTCCGGGTGTTCGAACCTATTTTTGGGATGTGTTTCTCAGTGCGATGGGATCAACATAAAGTTACACGAGAATTCGTGGACCGTATCGTCAGCCAATCGAATCACTACGCAGTGTTGAGCCCAGTACAAGCGATTGGCCTCGACAGGGCGAGGCGACATTGAAGTCGGGCACGCCCCTCTACAGTAGGAATGCGCAAAAATAGTCAAATAATAGTCTTAGGACGATGGTTTGACAATTGTTTGAGTATGTTAGGGCATTGTTCGACTACTTTTCTAATTTTTCGTCCAACATCGGCCTGTAGGGGGACAGGCCCGACTCAAGGCTACATACAACATTCATTCAATGCCCAGGATGACCATTGCCAGTGACGGCTGTGGTGTACAATTACCCAGACCCCCGACGCCACTGTTTGTCACAAAGTGGACCTGAGGTCTCGACCCTTTTCTCTGGGACGGGCCGTTTTTATCCTGGTCCTCTGTCTGTCCTTGGGCCGCGTGTATAAGGTCCCTTCATGGCCGACGTCGGCTCAACACATGCAGTCCTGCTGGTGTCGCGACGCGAGGGGGTCTTGTTCCACAGGTCGACGTCGCACCATGTCGAACCCCATGCCACTGTGCGCCGCGGCCAAAAGCTCGAAGCGAATCCAGACGCGCCAAAGCGATACTTCCTGGAGTGTTAAACATGGAAAGCACAATAATGTATTTGAGGTCGATCGTATTCTTCCAGCCACCAACCTCCTCCTGCAGACATGCGGCAGACCCCCACGGTGCCCAGGCCTGGAGCCGAACGACCCCAAGGGCGGCTATTTCGTCTGGGTGAAGAGCAAGGGGAAGGCCAGCTTTGGCAGCGCCTCTCGCACGCGCGCGCGCGAGGGATCGTGCACCGCCGCCGCCGTCGTCAGTGCTCGGCCTTGGCATCGCTCGGACGTGTGCATTTTTTCTTGGGGACGACCATCGAGGAGTATTCTTAATCATCCAGCGAAAAATACACGCACGAAATCGAGACTTGCACGGGGAAGGGACGTCCGAGCGATGGCGAGTGGCAGCGGCATGTCTTCTGTGGTCATGAGAGGTTCTCTGCGGGGTTCTGGGGAGGCTCCCTGAGGCTCACGGCGCTGCTAGTGATGGTGGTCGCCGTCTCCGTTGCTTCCGCTTCCCCATTGCCCCGTGTCCTGCGACGGTGCTCCCTGGAAGATGGCGAGTTCGCCCCGCTCTCAGACGATGGGGCGGAGCAGCACGAGGCACGAGGCACGAGGACCGAACCCGCGTGAAGTGACGCTTATGCAGACGACGTGCATGTGTGCTTCGCGTTGTGCAGCGCCGCAAGGCACTGCCCGCATCTGGGAGAACGGGAGCAGCGGGAGGGATCGGGCGGGGCTCCGTCCTACGGGAGGGAGGCGCTGCCAGGAAGGCTGCGCGTGCGCCCCCCCCCCCCAGATGACTGGGCGGAGCGGCAAGGGTATGAGCCTGAACCCGCCTGACGCTTACGCGGACTACATGCGTCTGTGCTTTGCGTGGCTCAGCGAGGAGCAGATCCGCGAGGGCGTGGAGTTCCTGAAGCAGTAGGGGCCAGTGAGACGGAGGAGCGACGGGGTCCGAACGCGGCGGAAGAAGGCAGTTGCCATGTGTTGAGGGATGAGGGGGGAAGGACGAAGGTACCACCAGCCACGGCCGCGCCCATGCTCGGTCGCTCCCCCCTGTCCCAGCACGGTAGGTTCGTGTCGTGCCGACGCGGCGGCGATCCCGCCGCGGTCGTTCAAAATCGAGCGTTGCTTGCAGCCCAGAATTGGCGTACACGTAGAGTGATGGCGGTTTGAAAGCCGGCCTTCGGGGCTGAACGATCCGATCCGCGCTGTGTCAGAAACCAACGCTGGGGTCGTCACGACACGAACGTTCTTGCTCGGCGTGAGAGGGTTCTTTCCGTACTCGTCGCGATACGTTCTTGTTGCGGCGTGAGAGCGCGAATGTTGGCAGTTTTTCGTTCATAGCGGGTCGCGGCGTTGGGTGATTTGGGCTTGGACTGCCTGTATAAGAGTTAAGACACCAGTAGCTGGCATTCGGGGAACCCCCTCGTCGCCTCGGCTGGACGCAGCTCGGAAAATTGGTGCGTCTGGTCCCTTGGATGGTCCTTGAGAGCGATTTTGGGTTGCCATTGTCTCAACCCGCCCTGCCTAGAGATGCCGAGGAAGCGCAATCAGCGATGGGTCCCGTTTCCGCGTGCACACATGGCGAGCCCCGTGGCCAGATCAGGCGGTGTTGGCCACATAGTTTTGGGGATGCCTTTCCCGATCCGTGGATCTGGCGCCCACACGCCAGGTCCACGGACCCCTAATCCATGTCAGCTTGTGCCCGACGATGGGAGATGGATCGGTCAAGCCTGGGTGACCATCGTGGACGCACGGCGCTTCTTAGCATACGCACCGCGCTGCAGGGAGGGCCTTTTCCGTGCGCGCGGGCCCGTGCACAGTCCCGCAGGAAGCTACCACCTCACGTCCTGACGGCTGCAGCTCTGCTTGTTGTTTAGTTTCGGTCGCAGGGCCATGAGTTGGATCGCCCAGTTTTTCGTTTCAGCACAGTTCTTCGAATCCGAGGGGTGCTTATTTGTTTCGCGCAAGGTCTTTGAATTGTGAAGGCCTTACGGCTGGTGCCGTCGACTCTGAAGGTGTAGCCCGAGATGTTTGGGAGGCAAGGAATCGAAAGGGGAAGCTTTTTCCAGGAAGGGGTGCTCCTTGACGGAGGTGGGGTCGCAACCCCCAGGAGCCCCCCCCTTCTTCCCCTCCACCCCCCCTCCCACCACCCACCACCACCCACCCCCTGGTGGGGAAGGGAAGGGATCACAGGGAAGGGGTTCTTTTCGACTCGATCGCGACATTGTTCGATTCCTCTTTGGCTGGGACGTTTGAAGGGGAGGGCCCACGGACAAGAGCATGGGGTAGCGGTGACGGTGACAACGACGACGACGGTGACGACGGCGACGACGAAGCTCCTCACATGCCGACAGGGTCGGCGGATCCTCAATGGGTTTTCAGTACCCTGTGGTGCGCGCAAAGTGTCCGACGCCAGCAGTGTTGCCAATGGTGGTAGTAAGGGCTTGATGGTGGACGGAGATGCGCGTTGTGGACTGTTTGGTTACGGACGCATGCTCATCTTGAAATCTTGAACGAGGGGCCTCATGGGGGCCGCTTTCAACCACAAGCCAGTTGACGGCGGGCACGTAGGGTATCATAGTGGCGGTGTTATTAGGGATCGTGAGAGCATGCACGAACCACGTGTTTTAACACACTCTGCTTTTTGATCGAGGATTGGGTCGTACTTGAGATAGCGTGTGCTTTGCTAATCGTGTAGTGTGCGGGCGCGTGTGTGAATATTTGACCCCGATCAATGGAGTCATGATTTGCAAGGGTTGCGCAACAACGATCTCGACAATTCAGACATTTACGATCTAGCCTACTGAGCCAAACGAACAGCTGAATCCGCACAATTCGCTGGTTAAGTAAATTAGACCCGGTTGATATCACATCCTCAAGATTATCCATCGCTGAATCAAGACATGTGCAATTCTACCCGTCCAACAGCAGTTGACGCAACTATGTAACCAGCGATGTATAGAATTAGGGCGCTTGTACTGCCGACGTGGATCGAATCATTTTGTCAAGGCGGAGTGCGTCAATCAGCTCATCGGAGTCGCCAGGCCGCCTAATGGTGAACTAGCTGGGCCGAGCTCACCAAGCGCATTGCAAAAGTGGTTCAAAGGGTCGGGCAAGGTGTGGCATGGACAAACAGTTCTGGCTGGCAGAGCTGGGCGACACGAGCAGATATCGTTTGCCAAGCTGAGCTATATTGTTCGCGCAGGGTTTGCCGCGACAGTTGCTTATCCAGGCTCGGCGTCTGTCGCTGTGGTGGGAGGTGGAGCCTCTACCCTCCACGCTCGGTGCTGAGAGAAACGACGTCCTTGGCCGTGCAGGTTCTCGGCAGAAAAAGGCGAGCCAGCTGATTCGGCGAGACGTCACTCCCGTTGTTCACTGTGCGCTCTGCGAGCCGTCTCGAGTAGGACACCTGGGCAGTCAGCAGGATGCTGGGGGTACCGACACCGCTGCCCTCGCCTTTTTCCCCCGTGTGGGCCTCTTGGGAGACCTTCGTCGCCACGGCCAGATTCGCCTGGAAGTTCTGGTCAGAACGCATCGCACCCTCGGAGGTCGGGGGAGGAGGAGGAGGAGGAGGAGGAGGAGGAGGATGGAGGGCAGGGGGCAGGGTGGTCATGACGATGCGGGAGGCGGGGCAGTCCCGCTCCCTCGCTGCTCGGCGCCCCTCGTGTTGGGCCTGGGCGGTCGTTCGTTGGATGGATCGCTCCCAGCAGAGAGGATGGGCCGAGGTCGTGCCAGACGAAAGGGGGTGGGGGATTGGGAAAAGGGGGGGTGCGAAATCTGCTGCTTGCAGCTGGTTTCGGCCCCACCGAGGGGCCCATTCCTCGATACATGGGCGCCTCCCGGCGCCGGGGGGCGCCGGGAAAATCAGCTACGTGAGCTGATTCTCAAACCCTCCCTTTGCTATCCCCCCCTTTCGCCCGGCGCGACGAGGGCAGGGGTCAGGGCACCGGGTCTCGAGCTCTCGTGGGCTTCCCGAGCTCTGGCCGCCCGCCTGAGCAGGGCGGCCTCGAGGGCAGGTCGTGGGCGAAACGCATCCGCATCGGCGGCCTCGCGCGCCTGGCCTTTGGGCCGCGACTCCGCGGACGAGGGGCGGTTTTGCCGCAGATGCCCCGCGCGGAACGTATTCGTGCGACCGCGTATCCGCGGGATCGCGCCCCGGAATCCAGACCGCGAGGGCGTGGATACGGATATGTTCGCCGTTCGTGGCCAGAGGAGGAGAATAGACCGATGCTCTAGGCCTCCCAGATGGGGTCGGAGTAGATGGGGTCGGAAGATCGTGCCGCATCGCCGATGCATCGGCGATGCGGTTCGATGTGGAACCCGGTTTTCTTTACGCCGACGATGCGGTTGCGTCGCCGACGTTCGCAATACATCTTCGATGCATCGTCGTCGCATCGTCGATGCAATGGCGATGCATCGGAGATGGGGCGCGATCCTCTGACCCCATCCACTTGGATCCCCTCTGGGAGGCCTCCAGATGCAGCCATGCTCGAAATCACCGTCAGAGCGCGCCCCTGGAGGGAGAGGTCCAGGGAGTAGCGGTACCAGTGCGGTTTTGTCCCCCAAGGGTTTTGTGGAGGTTGGGCCGGGCCACGGTGCCAGGAGCCCGTTTTTTTATTGCTTGGGGCATGACGGGCGTTATGGCCCCCGTTCCCCCCCCCTATGACGTAACGCTCCCCCCCTCCAGTGCGTGCGGGGCACTGCCGACGTGCGCATTGGGATCCGCGTAGGTGCCCGCGTAGGAATCCGCAGATGAGTCAGGTCCGCAGTCGTCGTCGTCGTCGTCGTCGTCGCGTCGTCGTGCGCGCGGACGCGGCTGGAGCCTGTTTTTCATTCTGGGCCGATGACGGTAATCATCTCGGGGGGGGGAGGGGGTCGATGACGTCACGTTTCGCGCCGGCAGCGTTTGGGAATGCTCAGGACTGACGGAGGACGGGTAGCACCACCATGTAGTTGGCGATCTGCACCACAACGACTGTACACCACAGTGCTTACGTGCAACACAGCGTGGGTTTGTGCCACCGTGCCCGCGGGCAAAGCAGCTCTTGTGTACGCCACAGCGCCTGCGTACACCACATCAGCCGTGTGCACCACAGCACCAGTGTAAATCACAATGCTTGTGTGCATTGCTGTGTAACCGAGCGCGTGCGATGATAAAGCCCAACCCCCTTCACCCCCTGTATTTTTATAATCCCCGTCCAACAGGATTTAATTGTGGAGATAGACGCGGAGGCCGAACTTTATAATCCGTGGGGGAAGTTGCGAATCAAAGTTGCGATCATTTCGTGCGAACTAGTAACAGCATAAAAAACGCTGAACATGGCCATGGTGGTCTCACCACACCAGCGCTCGCAATCACGAGCGTGTGGCAGGGCTGTGCGATTCTCACCACTTCAGTTTGCCCAAGTTACGAACGTGCGGCAGGGCCATGTGATTCTCACTTTCTCAGCCATTCCCGAGTCAGGAAAGTGTGGCAGGCCATGGGGGCCGATTGTATTTTGATTGCGCATGCGTTTTTCGAGTAGGCAGAGCATTGGAATTAATTTTTTGCTCCACGAGTTTCGAGATCTCCGGGGTCTACCTTGTGCCGAGCGCCCAGGCTCACCATCATCATCACCATCATCATCACCATCATCATCATCTTTATCGTCATCATCATTATCCTCATTCCCGGGAACATATATTTCATTCTCCCCGCCTGAACTCTGAATTTTTTTAATCCCCGGGGGATGACTATCGCCCGTGATCGGTTCCACAGCGCTTGTGTGCACCACAGCAACAGTGTGCAGCACAGCACCACTGCTGTACCTCGAGTGGTAAGAGGAGTCCTTCTGACAAAATGGAGCCGCTTGTGGGTTTCACACAAAACAATACAAACGGAATCCTGGTGGACAAAAAAGCGCCAGTGGAATTTACGAT